TTTTTCCCACCTGATCATGGAACATTAGAATTTGATGTTGATTTGTAATAGATGGGTATTAAAGTTGTCCGACATCACCCAAGAGAGAGAGAGAGAGAGAGAGAGAGAGAGAGAGAGAGGAGAGGGAGGGAGGGAGAGAGAGAGAGAGAGAGAGAGAGAGAGAGAGAGAGAGAGAGAGAGAGAGAGAAAGAGATTGGGGGGGGGGGGGGGGGGGGTGTCGAGGGGAGGGAACGGCACAGGCACATTGCTATTGGTAGTGCGTTGTATAAGCTTATCAGTCAAGGATGTTCAACATGTTAAATTTCACATCTCCCTATTAGGGTAATAGCTCTTATGTTTTGACAAATCGACACATCTTTGTATTATCATACAAAATAAATCAAAATAATTTGTTCTGTATTCTGTTGACTTGTTGCCAAAACAGATCATGATTTAACATCAACAGCTAACCTTACTCAAAGGGATTTTACATTAATTTTGTACTCCGAGTGTCAGTTATCAAAGATGACAAAATATTCTTCCACTGTAATCATTTTAAGAGGCAGCAATGTCACAGCTTTGTCAAACAAAGATACAAAATCTTTGGCATATTTAGGTATTTATTTGAAAGTACATGTATACAGAAAAAATACGGTGTGTTTCAGACGAGATCTATCACATAGTGTGGGACCCACATTGCTCAGTTTTCGAACATGAGATATCAACGGGATTGAAATGTCTGACATGTGTATTGACGACAGCTCTTACTTTCTGCCTTCTTTAATCAAGACACATCGTTTCCCCGTTCGTTCTCCTTTCTTTCTCACGAAGAACAGAAAATAAAATATAACAAAAACATTAAAAAAAGGTTCTTTCAAGTTGAACGATCGCGTGTAACCCTTTCCTCGCGATCGGAATCAGTTAGGAAATGTCCCCCTTCGGGAATTGAGGAACACGAAAGAAGGATTAGAGTTAACTTTAGACGTCTGTTAAGATGATATGGCTGATGAATGAATAAACTAGCCGTGATTGGTGATGAATAAAAACATCCAAGGGCATTTTCCTTTATTAAAAGTGATTTGACCTCTGTAGGCCGAGGGGTATGTAAGAAACAGAACCCCCTCCCGATAGAAAAAGAAATGGAAACACATTTAAGAGTTGATTATCGCCTATGGTATTAATGTTCAAAAGGTAATTCTACACGTTTGTAAATCTAAAAGGAGAGGCTACAAGAATATATTTTCTGTAACCCTCTGCAATATTTCAATACATAGGCCTACTTAATTTTGAAAATGTTGTTGACAGTATTATATAAATAAATGGAATACTAATTCGTTCAGGGTGCATTCGTGATTTAGGGTATCAAAGTCGTCACATGTGATCTAGAAAACTACTTTAAAACATTGTACATTGAATCTTTGCCATTTGTTACATGGTGGTCTAGGTTTCTCGTAGATACCGATTTTTTGTATTAAAGATACCATAGTCCTAAGCTATACGATTAGATTGATATATCACTCAACCAGGTCAAAGGTCAATATAATACAAGATCGAGTTAGAGTTCAATTTTAATCTCAATATCCATGAGAGATGACAATTATCCGTATCTCCATACATTTACTAATTAAAGGCATGATACATATAACAGTTACTAATTACAGAACAAATTCACATGCTGAGGAAGACCGTTATAAGTATGATTACGAATGAGGATCAAGAGGAAAAGTATAATGACCTCGGTCTGATGATGAGACAAAAGTGGAAGAAGTAAAAACTATTTATGGAAAGACGGAAAAGGAGGAAGAACAGAGAGAATATAATGTGGCAGAAAATATCAGTTACAAAATTATGAACAAGATGGTCGTAAAAACATTCAAATCTTATAAAATATAGTTATTAGGTTACCCTGAATATATCGCATTACATTGGTAAGACAAATTAAATTGATTGATCCATACAAATGATATAAACTACCTGAACACATACATACATGTATGTATATGTTGCATCGCAGTTTAGTTGCTATTATCTGGGATATTATATACGGTCTCACGCATTTACTGTATACTTAATGCTCAATAGACGTGCTATATTATTGATCTGTCGTTATATACAAGCGTTGTCTCTAATCAGTTCATGCTATTAATAAAAGCATATGCACATGCCAGTGTAGTATGAAACATTGATTTATATAGGTCTAGGAAAATTTGTCAGTGACATCATTATGGATTAAAATGTACTTACTATTTGATGTTCAGCTGTATTTTTTTGTTGTCCGCATCACACCTTGAATCTTGACAGGTTTCACAATACAGTTGATACAGTGCAGAAAGATAATTGTGAACATTTTTATCAGAGAGAGCAAGAACAGGAAATGTTAGAATCACGTTGCCGTCATCCAAGTTTTGACGACCAACAGTGAGCCGGTGTACTTTCAGATCCGTCAATGTCTCATAATAGAAATCTTCAGATTTAGGGATGTTTCTCCCCAGATCCCTAGGTGAAGGATTATTGAATTGATTTCTTATGTGTAATAATAGCTATATATACAGGAGCTGTTGCAATGTCGGGTAAGATTTGAGAGCTCGGTCTCGGCTCTCCAAGAGCAACTTTTGGTAAAATGTCATAAATCAACCCTCTCTCTCTGCCTGTATGTCTCTCTCTCTCTATCTCTCTCCTTCCCTACCTCTTTTTTTGTTCGCTCTTTCTCTATCACTCACTCCTCTTTCTTTATCTCTCCCCTTCCCTTTCTCCACTCTTTATCCCTCTATCACGCTTATCTCCCCCGATTCTTCACCACCTAACCTTTTCCCCTTTATTTCCCACATTCTCTGTACCTCCCAGGACCTGGAGCATCAACTCTTTCTCTTGCTTATAAATCACATTTCCCCCACTTATCCTATATTTCCCACAGTCAACTGCAATCTAAATGTTTGTCCCGGTACAATCTTCCTTCCCCCTTGAGGATTAAAACTCGTACGTAGCCCCCAGAATGTTCTACGTTCTTTCCATATTTTACATTAGATAAGGAGGAAGTACGAATAAAGACACAGATTATATCTCTTTGTTTATTCAGCAAAGAGAAATACAATTTTGTAAGAGAATAAAAGATGACAATGCAGACTAAATTCTGAGGGGAATCACTTCGGCCTCGATGATAAACGCCCACATTATTGTAATCAGATATTAATTTATTTTCGTCTGTTCTTTCTGCATATTCATTGATTAATTCAAAATAGATTGAATATTGTATACATGAAATAAAAAACATGGAAATCCATATTATAGCTCAAGTCAAAACATGGTCCATGGTCAAACTAAGTGCATACCCTGAATACTAATTAGTCCCCAATAAGTGGAAGAGAATTTAAAACAAACCAAACAAGACAATCCTACAGACCAGACTAAAAAGAGTAACTAATGTCAGAGTGTGTGAGTGGGTGAGTGTGTTTGTGAGAAAGGGAGACAGAGAGGGACAGGTATAGGGATGGATAGAGAGAGGTAGACAGACATATAGGCAGAGGGGGAGAGAGAGAGAGAGACACACACACACACACACACACACGCACACACACAGACAGACAGACAGAGAGGGGGGTAGAGACATGGGAGATTGCATTAAAAATTAATTTCTTTCTACATGTTTCATTTTAAGCACATGTATTTACTTTCATCTCTCCTAATACTAATAAAGCACAAAACAAACTGTTCTACATGTACATATATATCTGTATTTATTTAAATTCCACACGTCGTCAACTCAACTTGAAGCCAGATATTATCAATACATTAAATTTAATCAAGCATTGACTTTCATGACTGGTCAACCTGTATGTGTGGTGGAGTAATCTGTGTGATGCATGCACTGCATATTATCATTATGATTGTAAAATACACATGAAATTAAAAATTTGCAGCGTCGGTGCATACATCATCCAAGGGCACGATATATCATACAGGGAAATATTACTTTAAGGTAAACACATTTGCAAACTCTGCTTTATAGCCAAAGAGAAAACAAATATATAAAAAGAGTTAAATAATAATAATCATTGATGGCATTGTATAACAATGCTATCTTTCCAGGATTTCATTAACATTTTGGCTTACCAAAAGACAAATATCTGCCTCATTCATTGGACAAAAGGGCCCTGTCTCACTCATTAAGACTTGCAACTGATCTGAATCAATCCCAAGTCCTCCAATCATTCGCAAGTTTACAGTCTCCTACTCTTATGTACATAGTTGCGATTAATTAAAACTGCTTATAAGACACAGCCCTGATCTAGAACAAGAAAATGAAGAAAAGTTGAATAATTAATGAATCTTAAAGAAGCATCAAAGAATAACATGCAAATACAACAGTTAATTTTTCAATAGATGACATTACTCTTATGGTATAATTATACAAGTTCTGCACATATATTATGTGGCTTCACTTGTTTAAAGTTAAAGTTGAGTTCTGGTCATGCGATTGCATTGTGAAAGAAACGGTGTGGAATCGATCAGAAAAAGTTGATCATGTAGCATGTATTGGCGTGTACTGCAAGGTTCTGCAAGGTTCTGGAATCATCAAAATTATCAGAAATTTGGCCAAGTTATGGTAAAAGTAACAAGCACTGTTCACAGAAAGGTGTATATGGGATTACACTTTCATGTGGCATAAAAATGTGGTCCTCATTTTTAAGCTGTTACAGTGTACATGCCATATTCAGAATATGAAGGCATTTGAAGAGTCCATGCTTTTTAGGGATCACTTTTTCTCTGCTGTTCTTCCACACTTGCATAATAACAATGAAAAAGCTCACAAATTGTTTTTCACCTCTCCCCAGAACTGAACCTTCTCTTTAAGATTACAGGTACACATATCTTATTTTTTAAGACCACATTATTAGCTCTTTTCTTATGTCATGCTTCCTGTGTAGAAATTGCCAACTTATCAAGAATTTTCTATCAAGGGACAGAGAAATCAGATACATTTACCAGTACTTGAACAATGCACATTGGAAGACTGGTGATTATCATTTCTCAGTATAATTTCACAAGCAGCTCAATTGTTTTATGACAAACAAGTTTTGGCCTAAAAAGGTTACATTCTTTCCATGCTCTGAATTACTTCAATGAGGAAAATGGAGCTTAACAAATTCAATTCTAAATGTTTGGTAATTATTTGAGAAAAGAGAATGTGACTACCCTGCATAAGAGTGCAAAGCCATCTACATGTACATATAATGCACAAACATTTTCTTCTCAAAACCTTACCTACATGTACAGTGTATCATATTCTTGGACATGATCTAATATTCTAGTTGAGTATATTCATGGTGCTAGGTCAGGTGAAGTGTATGGTAACCAGTCTTGCAGCAAACAACTAAAACCTACATGTATTACAATACCATGTGTTTTACATTTAATAATTAATTTACAAAGAAGAATCATTATGCATGGGCGAATAGGATTTACTTTACAGCTTTACCTCGATAGATATTTTCTCTGCTCATTTAGTAAGTTCTTGATTTGTATACATAAACGTATGAGTAAAACTTTTCACAGTTCATTTGATTTTCAATACAAGATAAAAGATATTAAATTTGATAAAAGATACCAAACCAGATTGAATAATATTTAAAACATTCCAATGCTCTTCAGAGTTCAAATAAATTTTTCCTGAACAAAGATAAGATGTCTGCTTATATGCTTATTCAGAGAATTTGCACCGTGAGGAAACCTTTGAGTTACCTGTAGGTGTTGAAATTGGCAACACTTATTCTTTCTAATGAAATATCAACCCCTCCCTATTCCATGTGATTATCATTGCAAATAAATCAAATCCTTCCATAGTGACAAATGAGCACTTTCAGCAACAAATTTGAAATTAAAAATTGGATTAAAGAAAGTTATCATTTGAAGTGCGATAATACCTTGTTATGTGCCTAACTTCTAATTAACTAGGGTAGCAACCGATCAGTGACTGTAGCTTGAACTCATTATCATGCATAACAGTCAATATGACTGCGGATGAGCCAGTCACGATCACGATCTTTCTCAGTGGGGAGAAAAACCCACATGAAAAAACAAAGACCACACATCTGTCAGACTGATTTTCCTTGTTTTCCAAGAGCAGTCTATCTCAACATTCTGGATTGATGGGAGGGGGTCTTGTTAGTTGATAAGCAGTTCAGATTACACACAGAAGTCTTCATAATCAATTTTGAAGGGTCCAGGGGTTGGTCCCATCACGGGACCCCATTTCCCATTAATGCGCAGAGATGTGGCTCAAACTACAAATAGAGTTATCCTAGTCACCCTGGGACTAAGGCTCACTGTTTAAGGTAGTGATGTCTCTTGAGATCTTGTGCCTGTAACCATACAGTATAGGTCAAGGGTCATTGATGACTCGACAAGATACAGTAAGGTAGGAGTCGTCCATGTCCTTTCTTTCATAATGGCTATCACCGATGATGCTGGAATCTTCCTTATAGCTGGTTTCATGATATTCAAAAGGCATTGTTACACGATGTCAAATTCATGAAGTTTAATCGTCGAGGTCAAATTCATGAAGTTTAATCGTCGAGGTCAATTTCATGAAGTTTAATCGTCGAGGTCAATTTCATCTAATTCAATGTCGCATTCCGCACCAAACAGGTCTTCATCGATGTCGATATCACCTCCATTTGCTAGAGCGCCCTCTGCTGCTGCGATGGCACCTAACGTTGGTTCTTCGTCAGGGAGTATGGCAGCAGCTTGATCCAGTTTACCCGATTCATCTATGGACAGACAGAAAGAGAGTTCATGAATATTACATACCTATAAAGAGCCCTGTCAATTATTCACACTGAGTTGGAATATAAAGGGGTAGCTAACATCTGCCTAAACTAGGCAAGTATCACAAGAATTTGATAATGATTCATGGCATATGAGATCTAGCAGAAACATTCCTATTTTAAAAAGTATGACTTAAACTTAGTGCTAAATAATGCATTTATGGTAAATCATGTTCATTATGATCCTCTTACAGGGCAAAGAAGACAAGCGATTTCAGGAACGGGGAGATATGAATACTTTATACAATTAATAGCATACTTAGCTTTAAATATTTGAATAATGGCAAAGCTTGAAAGGGAAGATGACACACTCACCATCTTCATGGCCATTAACAGCGGGCTGAGGAGCATCAAGTCTACTGGTGATGTGTGAAGAAGACGTATCAACCTCCATCGCTAAGGCCGCAAATGCTTCTATACTCACTTCTTGTACATTCACTGGATCCTGTTGGGTGTACAGATAACAATGAGAGGAAGAGTCAACTAGAAATCTTTCTTTCAAAATACTATCTTAAATATCATCTATGAGTACAGCAAAATCGAGAAGGTCGAGTTATGATTGAAAATGATTTGTAAGATTTCCCATTCCTTATATATGTCAGTGTGGTAGAAGAAAATAAAATAAATGTATCCTGAAAAGGATTGTGCTACGAGTGGCCTCATATTGACAAAAAATGAGAATGGCTGAAAAGTTTGGACCACACTTTCATGGTGCATGTACGTGTAGTCCCATATAGTCATTTCTGTGCACAGTGCATATGACTTTCAGCAAAATTGACTCAATTCTTTTTATCTTGTTGAGTTCAAACCCCAGAAAATAACACAAATTATTTTTTACTACAAAATCAACCTTTATAAAATGCTTCTAGACAGTTGCTTTTACAATGTAATGGCATGACGTAACCCAACTTCATCTGGAATCTGATCCAGTATGGGTACTTGTGCTTGTCGTTCGATGTGATTTGTCATAAGTTATGAAGGTATCTATGATTAAATGCAGCATTTTGTTTGTAATCAATGTTTCAAGGAAGACGGAATGCTTACCTCTTCATCATCCTCCTCTTCTCGTTTGTAAGTAAAGACGTCTCCTTCATCGTCATCTTCACCGACCATCTCAGGTTTAAATGAGAAGAGCTCACGTCCTGTAACCTAAGGGTTCCAATCAGAAGGTATGTTAAAGCCCCACTGCACTACTAATAGCTACTTGCGCCCTCTATACAGCAAACAATGCTTAATCGGTGCCTGTTAGTCCCCCATGATCCTCTTTTTCTCATGTTAATTGAGAGCTGATTTGATGAGATAACTACCTGTCAGTGACCTTAAAGGGAGGTTCAATCCCCCCTGGCCAAACTAGTGCAGATGGGCTTTAAGACGAAGTCAATAACAGTTTGGATTTATATGTTTCAAAGTGTTTTACAGATATAGTATCCTCCTCATCTGATTCATTCAGGCTTGCCTGCACTTTCTTTTCACATGTGTGCACATGGCTCTTCCAACCACAATACTGTTTGCATCCATCTGGTACACATTTAACACCGGGGTGGAAAGGAGCAATGTAGATAAAAGGCCCTGCTTAAGGACATGACTGCTATGCCAGGGATCAAACCCATGATCTTCGCATCTCCAGTCAAGTATGTCAACCATTTGACTATGACTATGGCCTTCATCACTTAAATCCATTCAAATCCATTATTAACAGCTGCAAAATTAGTTCTGTTGGAGTGAAATGATCTAAATTCATAAGAGAAAGTTACTAGTAACACCTGGCCAAGGTATAAATTGACTCTTGTTTTCCCCATATCACTGAAACTCCTGCAAAATGTTGTATCAAACTAGTCATCTTTTCATGAAACAGTTATAAGAACAAGTTCATTGTCATCCCATTGTAACATGTGGTAGTTTAATACATCTGTTTCACTGGGATGTTGGCGTACTTCTGGCAGTGCCCGATTATTATATGCATAAACCCACCTTATTTAGGACCAATATCAAAACTAAAATCGTAAATAGCTGAAAGTTGAAGCAAAACCATACGTATACGCTGACCTATTTCTTAAAAACCGAAATGATTACGCTTTACTTACCCCAAGTGATTTGCCTTGTTTGAGTTCATTTCGTTTCTTATTTTGATCTGCCTCCAGCTTTTCCACCTTCTCAGCTATCTTCCTTTTCTTCCATTGCATGAAGGTTTGTAGGTTGATCTTAGTCAGGTTACCAGTTAATTTATTCCTCTGAAAAATGACATACATAATATCAAGAGGTAACATAATATTCAGAGATGCCAACCTCTTGACACAAAGAAACAGACTGAGTATCCTTAAAAAAAATCATCATAATTTGGAGAGAAAAATCAGATTTTCATGAAAACTCGACACTACCACTAGCGCGTTGGCCCTGGGCCAGTAAAATGTTAGAAAAATGTTATACCGGTAAGAGTGGTCAAGTAAAATGTTTGCTCTTTCATTAAAATTTAATGAAAAAATAGTTAAGCAAAGTTTTGGTTGGGGTTTACTTGTACATGTTTCTATGCGATTCCGCGTGTTTTACGGGCTTTTAATTTGTTGTTGTTGTTGAATGATGAAAAATCGTATTTTAAGAGGTGATATATCGTATTATCGTATTTCACTCTTATTATCGTACTAAATACGATTTAATCGTACTGGTTGGTATCTTGATTTGCTTGTTGTTAGTCTGAAAGTTACAAAGGAAATGATGCTTAAGTATTTCCCAAGGAGATAATATTGATGGCTGACAGCCCTCAAGGGTGTTAATATCTATACTTTTGCAGAGAGTTCATGACCTTTTAGATCCAAAAGACGATACACCTGATACCATGTGGTAGAGCAGGGTAAACTTCTTCTTTCTGCAAAAATTTGAAGAGAGAATTTTACTAACAAATCCAATTGGAAACACCCAAATAATCATTTCTGTGAAGTCTGCATTTTTTCTTCTTCCTCTTTGACTCACTGACATACAGGATCCCAAATTTTTGACCTCATGACCCTAAAATCTACTCAGTTCATTGGCTCTGCAAGATGTCCTGAGTTAAATAGTAATCCATCTGTCAGTTCTAATGAGAATGCGTTCACAAGCTATTTTTGCATACATAATGAGCCCATGACCTTTGACCTTATGAACCAAGAATCTACTCAGTTCATTGGCTCTGCAAGATACATAAATGATCTAAATTTGGCAGGAATCCATCAACCTGTTCTATTGATAATGCGATCACAAGCTATTTTTGCACACATGAGCCGCATGAACTTTGACCTTGACCTCATGACCCCAAAATCTAATCAGTTCATTAGCTCTGCAAGTAACATACATGACCTAAGTTTGGCAGGAATCCATCAACCTGTTCTATTGATAATGCGATCACAAGCTACTTTTGCATACATAATGAGCCGCATGACCTTTGACCTTGACCTCATGACCCCAAAATCTAATCAGTTCATCGGCTCAGCAAGATACATACATGACCAAAGTTTGGCAGGAATCCATCAATCGGTTCTTGAGATAACGCGATCACGAGCTGCTTTTGCATACATAATGAACACTGTGACCTTTGACCTTTGCCCTCGTGACATCAAAATCTAATCAGTTCATCGGCTCAGCAAGATACATACATGACCAAAGTTTGGCAGGAATCCATCAACCTGTTCTATTGATAATGCAATCACAAGCTACTTTTGCATACATAATGAGCCGCATGACCTCTGACCTTGACCTCATGACCCCAAAATCTAATCAGTTCATCAGCTCTGCAAGTAACATACATGACCTAAGTTTGGCAGGAATCCATCAATCGGTTCTTGAGATAACATGATCACGAGCTGTTTTTGCATACATAATGAGCCTTGTGACCTCGTGTCCCCAAAATCTAATCAGTTCATCGGCTCTGCAAGATACATACATGACCAAAGTTTCTTCAGATAACGCGATCACGAAAACGGGACGTATGTACGTACGGACGGACGGATAACCCGAAAACATAATGCCTTCGGCTACTTCGTAACGGAGGCATAAAAAGAGAGATGCACATCAAGATATTGTTAAAAAAAGTAAGGTCTTATCTTTGGAAATAACATGGGCAGCTTCATTTTCTTAACAATGTGAAAATAGTTTATTCTTTCAATTGCTCTATTTATTTCTTACCTCATCCTCTATAAGCTCTTCTAATGATATCTTTGAATCCTCCTCCTGTTCCTCCATCTTCTTCTTATCTTTCTTGAGTACAAAGCCAGGAGGAAGGGCATGCTTGTATTTACATTTCTCACCGTTTGGGCAAGACCAGAACCATCCATACTTCATATTCTCCAATGCTTGAATGAAGAATCGGCAAACCTGTAACAGGAAAAAGGAAGTTACACAAAAATATAAACACGGATCCGACTCGTGAAAATAGTATACTACCCGATGTCCGCACCCCGGTGACTTAAGGTCACGCATGCCAGCCATTCTCCACTCCTGACGACGGATAGTCAACTTGTTCGAAACGTCGAGCCACTCATCCTCTCCAAGCACTATAGTTCTCCTTAGAACTATAAGCTAAGAAAGATAACAAACAGTCCTTTTCAGGACTACACACCCCCAAGAAAGATTACAGAGTCAGAGTCCTTTCCAGGACTCCTCAACCCTCTTTCACATGGTGCACCCGCAAGCCTACTGTATACCTGAAACTCTCCTTAAAGTGACTCGGTAACATATCGTCTTTCGGATGGTGACGTTAAAGGTCGGTCCCCAGACGCAAATAATCATATCTGATTGATACACGTCTGCATAAACCCAATTACACACACACACACACTCCTCAGATTCTGAAACAAAATCCTGGATTTAGCTCATGCTGCAATCAGAATTATAAACCTTTAGGTCAGTCAGGAATCCCATGACTTTTACAAGTTTTAAGCTCTCTTTCATTAAAATATATCAATAGTTCTTGTCAAAACTGGAAACTATTTCATGAAAGATAAGTGAATTATTTGAAATACAGTTGGTACCACTTTTTAAATGTTTTCCTAATCTTTATTTGACCTTTCACCCCTTCCCCATATTTCAGAACTGGTCCCTGTCTGACACAGGATAATAGCAAACGGTCCTTTTCAATCCAATATATGTTAACTATCTGTGGCACTATAAGAAATATAAAGGGCTACATGTATACATCTAGACCATGATCGCCGATTGCTTAAATTAATTATTCAAAAGCTTTACACAATGAATCAAAGGGCACAAGCAGGTGCTAAGTAAGCAGATGGTAAGAAAGTACATGTACACTTCAAATAATAATCGCAATTCATGTAATTTTCAATATCAATCTAAAAAGTAAAGTAATTCAATATAATTAATGTGAAAAGAAAGTCAGGAGATTGCCAGTAATATAGCTCCCCTCCCAAACAAAAGAATAAATGCAACCGCGTCTCCAATATGCCTCTGCCTTCATTTAGTTAGGATCGTGCCTTGAACTGGTATAAAAACTTGAAGGATTCTGTAACTTACAATCTCTGTTTTGGTTTTGCTCTCATTAGCATCTCCATGTTTCTTGCTGACTACTTCCATTAATTTCTCGTCATCCCAGTTATCCATGGTGTCTGTGAAGGAGCAAAGAAAAACATTGCTGTTGTTGAGAATAGGGCAACAAAATATAGAGGTAAAGACAATTGGAGAATAGCAATGAAAACAGACATTCTGAAGCTTTTCGTCAGACATTAATATGACCTTGGCGAACTACATTGGAACTGATGACTGCCAGTGAATATCTCTTCTGATTATAAAGATGGGCGAACCTACCGACACCACCTTTGAATTATAACACTCTAATCATGGTTGACAAACTGTGTCAACGCGATGGACACACAACTAGAACACATGATACCTCGACTATCAGGGGTACATTGCCTGTGTGTAGGGACACTGATTTTCCGAGATCACGGAAAACGGATGGAATTCACAGAAATGACGGAAACGGAAAATGCAATTTCGAACTTAAAATCGTGGAAAACCCCTTTTACCTCAAAATTTTTCATTTTTCAAGAAGAAAATCGTAACACTTACACCATTTTTGTGACTCGTTATACAGTGAAAAAATATCGGGCCTAAAATCATGGTTAATAATTACGAATATTTAGCGATATTCGTCAGATTCTTAGGAGACAGGGCGCTGCCATTTTGTTTCACTGGACCAATAAAGATCGTTAGGGGCGCTATTACGTAGATGTAATACTAGGCACACACACGCCAGCAGCGGGCGCTTAGTGCAGCGATATTGTACACACGCTATTGTACAGTTCGAAAAAGGGGCTGGCATGTGCGCCTAAAATCGATCGATCGCGGATCGCTGACATGACAGCCCAGACTGAAATGTTTTCGTCGATGTCGGTACTACTGTATCATTCCGTCAGGAATATGTCGTGTTCTGACACATTCCGCTAACTTTAGTCTGCTTGTCTATATTCGAATTTGAAGTTGGTAAATCATAAACATTTGATAATTTTTCGTAGGTCTAGCCTAGACCCTAGGGGTCTATATTTTCACTAGTATTTTGCATCAAGTTTATCCAGTCCCGTCCGTATGTTTTTGAGTGGTTATCAGTGGCTTGTCAAAGATGGCGGCTTTAATAGAAACTTTGTACCCTACAAGTTCATGTTTTAATGAAAATCTTATGTAAACAGAATTTTAGTTTTTTCATGTGTACAAAGTCTATGGCAAAACGGAATTTCCATTTTTCAGCCCATCTGAAACGGAATTCCAGATTTTCTGAAACGGAAAAGGCCTTTTTTTTAAACGGAAAATCAGTGTCCCTATACAGTGTGATCATCACATCACACGATAACAGTATTAAAACTGAGAGAGGCACTTTGAGTAGAGGACACATTAAAGTTAATAATAATAATAGCTCATTCTTATATAGCGCTTTTCAGGACCGCAGGCCCTCTCAACGCGCTTTACAGATATATATTATTAAAGTTGAACAAAGACTAGTCAGCTGGAATTTTGTACACTTGACGATACATACAGTGGGAGCTGATCAAAACACAATGTCTTTTAAAGGTAAAGACCAGTATTGCAAATGCCCCAATTTCAAGAAATGAAATGGAAGCTCTTATTACCATTTATGTGAAAGAATATGTTTTGACTAATACATGATAAAAATTTTTTGCCGGGAAACCGCCTACCCATTGATATATTTGGTAAATTAGTTTATCTACATGGTCTGTGAGAGATAAACGCACGTGTCGCGCACATGTGCGTATAGTCCCATATACATCTTTCTGTGTACAGTGCTTGTAACTTTACGAAGACTGGGTCAAATTTCTTATCATTTTGATGATTCCAGAACCTTGCAGATGATCAACCTTTTCTGATCCATTCCACAACGTTTCTTTCACAATGCAATCGCGTGACCATAGCTGGTTTTTAGCTTTAAACAACTCCCCAGAACAAGATTCTATGAACAGCGTTCCTTTACACAAGATTCTTTTATCATCTGTACATCCCTTTTGCTATATCATTATTAGAGGAGGCGCAATGGCTCGGTGGTACAACAGTGGTCTTGTAACCGGGAGACCCCGGATTCAAAACAAAGTCAATGCGCTCATGCCCTTTAGTAAGGCATTAATCCTCATTCCCAAGTCCATCATAGAAGATTTAAAGCCGTTGGTCCTCTGGTTGCTTACTAACAAGCATGAACATGCTTTCTTAGCAGTCAGGTAAAACAATCATTAATCATCATCATTATTATTCTGTGTAGTTCTATAAACATTTACCTATACTAATTTCCACAAGTGAGAAGAGGTAAACTTACCATTGGCTAGTTCCTCCTCTTTTCCATCACCATACACGCTACGTTTCTCTGCCTTACGCTCTATGTTGAGATCATGAGAGAATTTACACCGGTCTCCTTTGGAACACGACCCTTGCTTGAAGAAGGCGCACAATACAGACTTGGGGTCAACTCCTGGAAATGCAAAACATCCATTGATAAACAAAGTGGATTAAATCACATGTATGCTTCCTTATATAAAAAAATCTATACACCTACATGTACATGTAGGGACTTATTATTACAAAGAATCTAATCCAAACTGATAACTGATTACATACAGGAGTGTCTTGACTGTCTAAGTTCATTTCTTTGCTCAGGATAATAATATAATATCATATATCAATAGCATGATCCAACATATGCAATCCATTTCTTTCTGGGCATGTATAATCTGATGTTGAATTTGTAGTCTATCCATACATGCTCATAAATCTCATCAGCATTTGAGCAGGGAAAATTTGTAAGCTGTATGAAAGCTCTCCACATTTAACTGTTCAATAACCAATTCAACCAGCTAACTATTAACTTTTGATCTTGATGATTACCTCCTAGACATCCACTTCCACCATCTTTACACCAATGGGGTTACAATCGACAATAAAATACATCCATCTAATGTACCTTCAAATTACATATTATTTGTAACATATGACCATGTTAGTACATGCAGCAAACTAGAGTTTACCGCTCGCATCACGTCATATCAAAGCCTGTGTGTTCATAGTTGGTCACTAGTTTATACCTGAATTTAAAGTATAGTTTAAAAATAAACTAGACACTATGATCATTTCCACAGCTTTATCCTTTTAACAGGGGTGGATCTAGGACTATGTGATGAGGGGAGGGGCAGGGGATCTGTGCTAGGTCGGCACAAGGCCAACCCGGACTTGGCAGAAACCATGGCTGAGTTGTCTAAGAGAGCTGAGTTGATCACAAATACTTGCATTAATGTTTGCATTATGCATGTTGTTTTCAAGACACAAATTCACGATTGTTTGATGAGGATATGTAAAACAGTAACTATATGGAGTAACTTGGACAATTTATGCAGTGACATTCAATAAAAGATTAAATTTATGGACATTTTGTGGTCAAATTAGTGCTGAGTAAGCCCTTGTATCAAGTTAGCCTGGTCCCATACCCTGATCTCTATGCACCGATTCGTACCCGCTGAACATGGAAACGTCAGCCACCTTAACTGGGGGCCACAAAGACCATGCTAAAGACTATGCTAAAGACTATGCTAAATAATAGTTTAAACATTCCCACTTTGGTTCAGGGACCTGTCTGATTACAAAAGATATTGAATCATCTTTTGTTATGTTCTTGGATGGCCCCAGGCTATGGTGGACGAAGCACTATGGTGCTCCTGGATATCATGGAAACCGAATTTGTCTATACTACCTTTTGCTAGCTTCTGAGCTTCCATGACTGGTCTGAAGAGCATGTTGAGCTCCTCTGCTTCCTTTTTCTTTGCATCTTTCTTGGCAATTTTCTGCCCTAGTTCAGCAGCCTTGAATAAGAACATATGAAAATAAATGCGGAATTTCTTATTTGGCAACATCAGATCCACATAAACAAATCTCTCAGGATCTAAAATGTTATCGCTAAACAAATTACTATTACTAATTTTTATAATAAAACAGAAGGCCTGCATATATAACAGAATAATTGTTTAAAGCAATAATAGTTATAATACATAAACATGAAATTCAAAATGGTAAGCTAAAATGATATCTAAAGGGGAAAATAGAAGAGAAATAGTATGTAGAGTCAAAGTGAGAGAATATAAAAGCGAGATAAGAATATAATCATCAATCAATGCTGCTTTCTGAACTGTACATATATCTTCATTGGCCCCTGTACCTACTCTAAGGACTAATTTCCCCTCATGTTTTCTTATATGTCAAATATTAAGCCATCATTTACTGATACATTTATCATAATATTAATGCTAACAAATAATTCTCATACCTTTTTCTGATCTTTCTGGTTTCCAAACTTGACTTGAGCAGTGACAGTATTGATGAACCTCTGCTGTTTATTTCCTTTTTTATTCTTTAAACCAAAAGTCTTATCCTACGAGAAAAAAGAAACAAAACAAAATTTTAACAATCAAATCCTTTGTTCATATTTTTACATGTTCAAACTGAATGTAAGCAATGACGTTTTCCATCCGAGCATTGACACCACTAACGTATAATGCGCTGAATAACACTCATACAGCGCATTATACGGAAGTGCCAGTCAGAGGTCAACACCATTGTGTAGAGATCGTAAAGTCACACGCTACATGTACACGTGAAAAGGGAACTAAGCTGTATCGCTCTGGAAAGATATTTGCTATTATTTCGTTAGTTTTACCTCTGATTTTGAATAATTAGGAGTAGAAGTGGCATAAAATTCATCGAGGCCACTGTCCAATATTCGTCGGGTGCGGGAAGGTGTGATTTTGGACACATTTTAGGGTTTGTTTACATGGCTCTCTGCACGCTTGTATGGGAGCTGTTTAAGGCTTGGTGGTATCAATATCAGACATAAAAACATTACCATAAGGCTAGGCCAGGGCAGTGTTTCAGGTAACAGTCATAGATCTTTACTCAGTACTACTACAAGTTCACCGACATCCCGTTGAAAGGCTTGTCTATGGGATGTCGGTGAACTTGTACTTTTAATGTAGTACATGTATGAAGGGGTGACCAAAGTTCGCGGATATTTTTCTTTTCTTGCACATTACAAAACATCCAGATCAACATCGTGTTCCATACGTCATAAGAATCGTAATTTATCATATAATCAGATTATATAACATTCCAAGGCTGTATTTACTTCAAACCAATGATAAGACGAGAATATCGGAAGGCTTACCACTATCGACGTCTGTCAAAAAGTGTGACCTAAGTTCGCGCATGATATTTACTGCCCTCTTGTGATGGGCTTTATATATGTAAACATTCCAAAAAGGGACATAGTTTCAATAAGAAGCCGATTTTTATATTGAAACTTTGAAAAAGATAATAATTTCTCTTTTTCATTGAAATTTTCCCCCAAAAAATACCCTTGTTAAATTTTGCAAATATAAGACAATATTTTTCATTGTTTAGGAAAAATCCTTCTGCTGCGCCTGTGGAGAAACTACTGAGACAATCATCCACACGGTGGGTGAGTGCCCTCTCTACACTACTCTCAGAGACAACTTCATAGCTCACTGGCCAAGACGATGGGAGAGCCATTATTCCAACTCGAAAAGAAAACGAAGGGTGAATGCTTTACAAAGCAATCGCTACTTGGCTCCTGCTCTCACACCTCCCTTTCCGACTGGATCAACTCCTCACTCATTCACAATCTCTCTCTGTAGACTGTCATACTTGACCTCTACGTTAAACGTTCCACTACATGATGTATGTGATGCCACTGTAAACCTGCCTATCCTTTTTATATGTGTACTACCAACACCTGCACTAACTGCAGTTCTCCAAACTGGAGGAAGCCAAGCCAAGAAGAATTCCCTATCTGCATGCCATTTGTTTGTTTAAAAAGTTTATCATGTGTCTCCTTTTTATATGACATGACGGCCATACACGAGCTCTCGCTCTTTTCTGTCTTTGTCTCTCCACTTTCCCCTTTTAAATTATTTTGTATTCTTACGAAACCCATAGATCTAGATTCATTGAAATTCACAAACACAGATAGACCTACGGTGCAGTGGAAGCAGGCGCGCAGGTTTACGTTTTTTTTTGCGTAAGAAATTGGAAATTTATTTCAATTTCAATCCGTCTAATAAACTGATTTTCACATAAAAAAAAACACAATTTGTTGTCGCATTTTTAGGTCGCATTTTGACCTGTTGTCGACGGTGCTCAAAGATTTTGTTGTCTCGTTCCCACATCACCAGTAGGAGCGCTGGTCCGAAAATGAGGATCGTCCTCATAATGCAGACAAAATGCGTCCTAAAAAATGAGGATCGTCTGCATTTTCGCGGACGTTTTTTTTCATCGGCACTCTGCAGGTTTCAGGTTACCAAACGGCCCGCTGGCGATGCAAAAAATGGGTTCCCCAGGGGAAAATAACCCAAGTTCACTGTCTACTTTTTAGGTTGTCCGTCTTCCCAAGGATTTATTGCTCATAATGTGAAGGTCTCTGTACAAAGTCGATGTAAAATGCATCAAGAAAATCATCACAGAATCTGTTTTTTGCATTGCCAATGTGCTTTGGTCGAACTTTGGTCACCCAACCATATGTCTTTGACTTAAGGTTTATGACGGTTTCGTGAGACGCTGCCCAGATGTCGAGACATTCTTCTGAAACTGTGAAAGTGAAAATTTGGATGAAAATATTCTCCATCTACAACTTTAGATCTACAAGTAGATCTAGATCTAGAATCTAGAACCTACAAATTAATCGAATGTACGAGAGCTATTAAAATTAATTCCTTCCCTGTAGTGCATCGTCAATATAAATTCTGACAAAGTATGGCGCAATAACCAATAGGCCTACTCGCCTTCACATAATTCTGACGTTGCCGGTGAAATGAATGAATGAACATTGATGGACGAAAATGAATGAAGTGCGCGATAACCACGCACGTTACCAAAAAAAAGAAAGAATAAAAATCCCCATTCTAAAACTGAACTTGCCTCTATTACTTTGTCCTTCTTCTTCTCTACATTTTTCTTACTAGGTCCTGCTGCTGCTTTTTTAGGAGGCATTTTGGTAAATCATACAGGATAAACGTACAAAATTCCAGAAGGATAATTTCCAAGCACGTCGACTCAATTTCGACAAGTTAACCAACAAGTAACAATGGGGGCGCGCGCGTTGTGTATGGTATGCATAAAGATGCAATTACAAATGAATTTTTAGAATCTTTTCAACACTTTTAATTTCTATTCATTGTATTTTAGCAAATTGTTGCAAAATAACATGATGGCCGAAACTCAATTCACGATTTTGAAGAAGAAAGGGGTCTCAACAAATAAGCAGATCATGATTTTTTTTAAAACCGTCAAGTCTCACTTAAATAGGCTTACGCTTATTTCATGTAAAATAAAAATAAATCAGGTCACAGTCACTATGTAAGTTTCCACGAAAGTTCATCAAAGCGGTTCTCTCGGCTCGGTATGAGCTATAGCCTCTCCAATCCGACCTTGGAATCAATCTGGTATTTTAGTGGCAACAATGAGATTGATATTAATAATAACTTATAAAATATTTTGGAGCACTAAAAACAATAGGTACCATAGCGCTTACAAAATTAATACAAATATATGAAAAGAGGACAAAAATGTAATGTCTTACAGGAAGTAATTCACATACTGAGGAAAAGGGTAAATTTTAAGGGATCTTTTGAAGGTGGCAAGACCCGGGGCAAGACAGGTAATTTTCCTTAAAATGGAGGGGATGTTGTTCCAAGCAGGCGCGCCGGAAGCAGTTTGGGATGGGGGGGGGGGGGGGGCAAGCATTCCAGGGGCAGTGACGTAATGAGAAGAAAAAAGTTCGGAAGGGGGGGGGGGGGCAGACGAAAAATCTGCATCACCACCAGTCTTACACGTTACATTCAGGTCCTGCGGAACGTTTTTCAAAGTGGAGTATTATCGATCAGGTAAAGCGTAAATTGGGGTGGGGTCCAGGGCATGAGCCTCGGCAGGGGGTCAAGGGGCTGAGCCCCCAGAAGCTCAGGGGTTTTAGTTATTTAACTACGGTTAGATGAGCATCCAGGGGTCGTCTAAGGGCCCTTGGTGTGGTCCAGGGGGCAGAGCCCCCGGAAGCTCAGGGGTTTTAGGTATTTAATTACGGTCAGATGAGCATCCAGGGGCCCGCCTTAGGGCCCTTGGTGGGGTCCAGGGGGCAGAGCCCCCGGAGGCTCAGGGGTTTTCGGTATTTAATGACGGTCAGATGAGCATCCAAGGGCCCGCCTTAGGGCCCTTGGTGGGGTCCAGGGGGCAGAGCCCCTGGAAGCTCAGGGGTTTTAGGTATTTAATTACGGTAAGATGAGCATCCAAGGGCCCGCCTTAAGGCCCTTGGTGGGGTCCAGGGGCAGAGCCCCGAAAGCTCAGGGGTTTTAGGTATTAATTACGGTCAGATGAGCATCCAGGGGCCCGCCTTAGAGCCCTTGTTGGGGTCCAGGGGGTAGAGCCCCTGGAAGCTCAGGGGTTTTAGGTATTTAATTACGGTTAGATGAGCATCCAGGGGTCGTCTTAGGGCCCTTGGTGTGGTCCAGGGGGCAGAGCCCCGAAAGCTCAGGGGTTTTCGGTATTTAATTATGGTCAGATGAGCATCCAGGGGCCCGCCTTAGGGCCCTTGGTGGGGTCCAGGGGGCAGAGCCCCGGAAGCTCAGGGGTTTTAGGTATTAATTACGGTCAGATGAGCATCCAGGGGCCCGCCTTAGAGCCCTTGTTGGGGTCCAGGGGGTAGAGCCCCTTGAAGCTCAGGGGTTTTAGGTATTTAATTACGGTTAGATGAGCATCCAGGGGTCGTCTTAGGGCCCTTGGTGTGGTCCAGGGGGCAGAGCCCCGAAAGCTCAGGGGTTTTAGGTATTTAATTATGGTCAGATGAGCATCCAGGGGCCCGCCTTAGGGCCCTTGGTGGGGTCCAGGGGGCAGAGCCCCGGAAGCTCAGGGGTTTTAGGTATTTAATTAAGGTCAGATGGGCATCCAGGGGGCCGCGTTAGGGCCCTTGGTGGGGTCCAGGGGGCAAAGCCCCGGAAGCTCAGGGGTTTTAGGTATTACGGTCAGATGAGCATCCAGGGGCCCGCCTTAAGGTCCTTGGTGGGGTCCAGGGGGCAGAGCCCCGGAAGCTCAGGGGTTTTAGGTATTAATTACGGTCAGATGAGCATCCATGGGCCCGCCTTAGAGCCCTTGTTGGGGTCCAGGGGGCAGAGCCCCTGGAAGCTCAGGGGTTTTAGGTATTTAATTTACGGTTAGATGAGCATTCAGGGGCCCACCTTAGGTCCCTTGGTGGGGCCTGGGGGTGGAGCCCCCGTAAGCTCTGGGGTTTTAAGCATTTAATTACGGTCAGATGAGCATTTTTTATACCTTATTTGTGACATTGGCAGGTCAGTTATTTTTTTCTCCGTCTTTCTTTCTTTTTCTCTTTAACATACTTTTTCAAAAAATAGGGGGGGGGGGGGGGCTCGAGCCCAGCCACATTGCAGACCATGATATAAAGGCTTCTAAATAAGCGTATTTCGCCTGACTGTAATTTGGGAATTTCTTATTTTCCAACAAACGCGTACGAAGGAATGACTTACAAGAAAATGGAGAAAAAATCCCGGAAAATCATGTCGCAACATCAACATTTGTAAATCTCTTGTTTCGAATAAGAAATACATCACCCCCCCCCCCATCAGTACGCCAGCGTTCAGGGGCTCATGTCCAACACACTTTGCAGACCATGATATAAAGGCTTCTAAATAAGCGTATTTCGCCTGACTGTAATTTGGGAATTTCTTATTTTCCAACAAACGCATAAAAAGGTATGACTTACAAAAAAATGGAGAAAAAATCCCGGAAAATCATGTCACAACATCAACATTTGTAAATCTCTTGTTTCGAATAAGAAATACATCATCCCTCCCATCAGTACGCCAGCGTTCAGGGGCTCATGTCTTCTCACCCCTATAACAAAAAAAACGGACACGCTTTCCCATTCTCGCACACTATGTCCACGATATGTGCATATCGCTATTATAGAGACCTCCATTGATAAATACCGTATAGGTGACATGCGCAATGTTTATGAAATTTAATTCCTGTGAACTTTCCTTTTTCTTTGAATGGAATTGTATATGTGATTTAATTCAGGTTTTTATTATTGTTACGTTCTTTTGGATTAAAAATACAAACCATGTTTACTCCTTTACTGTTTTTTTTTTTTTTTTTTGGAGGGGGGGCGTTTTGGGGCGGCAAAAATGCGTTTTGCCCCCCCCTACTTTTTTGACTGGGGCCTATGGTTCCAAGTTTTTGTTGTTGAGCGGAGATTATGAGAAGGTGTATATATTTGGAGGGCGTCATTAAGATATTCAGGTGCCAAAGTGATGGAGTATTTTGAAAGCATACAAACAGACTTTTTAAAACAGAACACGTTACGGTGTATAGACTGTGGTAACCAGTGGAGCCCCTAAAAATAAAAGATGACGTACGAGTTCTAGAACTATGTCCAAAGACTAGAGGCGTCGCTAGACCTTTTTCAGTGAAGGAGGGGGGGGGGGGGTGTAGAGGCCAACGATTACCGACAAAAGTAGCCACCAATTACCGACAAAATTAAATGTCCCAATATCTACAAATTTAACCCGGGGCCGAAGGCTAAATTGTTTTTCCTATAAACTATCTATAGTACTTGCGTATGCGCAAATGGTCATTTTCCTCGACGACTTAAAATATACGAATTATTTCGTCAACATAGTCAGCATCATAGCCAGGCGCGTACGCAGGGGGGGGGGGGGGGGTTAAATCCCCCCTTGAGGTTTTTTTATGTGTATGTTTTGTGTATGTTTCTTGTGAACCCTCCCCCCCCCCTTTGAGTTTTTTTCTTTTTTCTTTTTTCTTTTTTAATAATAAAAAAAAATTATGCCGATGGCTGACCTAAAAAAGGTGACCTTACCCCCACCCCAACGGAACAAAATGTCAATTTTTCAAATTTCGAGACCCCCCCCAAAAAAGTGTCCGCTTACCCCCCCCCCCTTATTCTTGACTGAATTCAGTTCCCCCCCCCCCCCCCCTCCCGCGCGAAGCGCGGAAGCTTTGACGTTTAATTGAATAATTATTATAGAAAGAATACGATTCGATGTACCGTTGTGGACTCTTAATCCTTATCTGAATTCAGTTTTCCTCCCTTCACAGGTATCAAAATATGCTCATCTGACCGTAATTAAATGCTTAAAACCCTTGACTTCCGGTGGCTCTGCCCCCTGGGCCCCACCTAGGGCCCTAAGGCAGACGGCTGGATGCTAATCTGACGATAATTTAATGCTTAATACCCTGAGCTTCTGGGGGCTCCGCCTTATGGACCCAACACCAATTTGTGTCCTGCCAGTGTCACAAATAAGGTATCAAAATATGTTCATCTGACCGTAATTTAATGCCTAAAACCCATAAGTTTCCGGGGCTCCACGCCTCGACCCCACCAGGGGCCCTAAGGCGGGCCCCTGCATGCTTGTCTGACCGTTATAAAATTCCTAAAACCCTGAGCTTCTGGGGGCTTTGCCCCCTGGACCCACGCGAATTAGTTACCTGCCAGTGTCACAAATAAGGTATATAATTATGCTCATCTGACGTAATTAAATGCCTAAAGCCCTGAGCTTCCGGGGTTCTGCCCCCCCCCCCCCGAACCCAACCAATGGCCCTAAGGCGGGCCCCTGGATGCTCATCTGACCGTAATCTATTGCCCAAAACCCCTTAGCTTCCGGGGCCTCTGCCCCCTGGACCCCACGCCAATTAGTGATCTGTCAGGGTCACAAAAATTATGCTCATCTGACGATAAATTGATGTATGAACCTTTGAGCTTCTGAGGGCTTCGCCCCTTGGACCCAACACCAAATTGTGTCCTGCCAGTGTCGCAAATAAGGTATCAAAATATGCTCATCTGCCAGTATTTTATTGCCCAAAACCCCTGAGCTTCCGGGGGCTCCGCCCCCTGGACCCACGCCAATTCGAGACCTGCCAGTGTCACAAAATAAGGTATAAAATATGCTCATCTGACGATTAATTAATGTATAAAACCCCTGAGCTTCTGGGGGCTCCGCCCTATGGACCCAACACCAATTTGTGTCCTGCCAGTGTCACAAATAAGGTATCAAAATATGCTCATCTGACCGTTATTTGTTGCCCAAAACCCCTGAGCTTCCTGGGGCTCCGCCCCCTGGACCCCAAATTCAAAGGCAAATACAAGCAAAACACATTTATATTACAGTTTTCCCTACTTCTGAAACACTCAAGCAGCTATATAAACAAGAACAAGTCTGAAATGATTACCGGGTCTTCATTTGGAAGATGGAGGGGTCTTAGTTTAAAAGATTTTTTTCTTTGTTTTGTTTTGTTTTGTTTTTTTGTTTTTTTTAAACTTTTGAATAACCGGGTCTGGAAGAAAAACTACGCTCTAACCCCATGCTTTATTACCGGGTCTTAGTTTGGAAGATGGTGGGGTCTTAGTTTAAAAGATTTTTTCTTTGTTTTGTTTTGTTTTGTTTTGTTTTGTTTGTTTTTTTTAACTTTTGAATAAACCGTGTCTGGAGGAAAGACTACGCTCGATTCTCATGTTATTCCACAGAAAAAAGGATTATGGGGTCTTAGATTTGAAGATTTTTTAATTTTTTGAAATAACCGGGTCTGGAGTAAAGACTGCGCTATACCCATGCTTTATTACAGGGTTTTAGTTTTGAACAAATTCGACAAAATATCACTTCAAATTTATTACATTTGTGGGTAAAGTCATTATTACATTTGTGGGTGATTCGAAATTATTACATTTGTGGGTAAAGTGTTATTACATTTGTAGGTGTTATTACATTTGTGGGTAAAGTGTTATTACATTTGTGGGCGTTATTACATTTATGGGTGTAACACCCCCATTTGTGGTTGATTCAAAATTATTACATTTGTGGGTGAAATTATTACATTTGTGGGTAAAGTGTTATTACATTTGTGGGTGTTATTACATTTGTGGGTAAAGTGTTATTACATTTGTGGGCGTTATTACATTTGTGGGTGTAACACCCCCCCCCCCCCCCACTGAGCGAAATATTGACCGGCACGATTTTCAAATTTCAGCACACTAAATTTCAAATTGATTTCAAATTTTGGCCTCCACCCCTAAGAAATAATTCAACATTTACACACATTTACGTACATCGGTACATGTACAACTGTACATGAATTTCGTGAACAAAATTCTTTCTCTTTCTCTCCGTCTCCCTATCATTCGCGTTCTCACCAATTCTGCTTCTCACAACTTACTCTCAAAAACACACGCACGCACACATGTTCACATTGTAAAATGCAGTTCATAGTACGACATGAATTCACTGTAACATCAGTTGAGAGAAGGGGTGGGAACACCCTCCTACATCCCCCAAAGAAGAAAGAGAGGGAACTGGCATAAGTCAAGAGAGGGAGAATCAAATCCATTATTGATACATTCCCATACAGAATAAGCACACAGGGACAGGAGGGCGGCTATAATTGCCAGTAAAATTTGCCCCCCCCAAAAAAAAGGGGGTTTGGTGAATTGCCTGGCTGTAATTAAAGAACTGCATTCATACAGTGAGAACACAAATACAATCAAATCATAAATGACAACAAAAACACAAGATTTAACATGTCAATAGTATATGATTAGCGTTGTTGAGCTGCCTCTAATTATATATTTGAAAATTGGTAACAAAACTGCAGAACTATTGGATTTAAATCCAATAAACTTTCACTTAATACAAAAAAGACTCATTTCATGTATTTTAAACATCATTCTCATAATACAGAAACATCTAAAATCGATGGTATGCTACTAGAGAAGAAAAGTTTTGGGGAGTTCTTATAGATGAAACCTTAACTTGGAATGATCATTTACACCAAGTTACAATGTGCATTTCCAAAAGTATTGGAATAATCTCCAAGCTAAAGTTTATTCTACCCCATGCAACCTTATTCCTACTATATAATTCGCTAGCTCTCCTGTATATAACATATTGTAATAGTGTATGGGCAAATTGTGGTTCGACAAAAATTAATACTATTTTTAAACTGCAAAAGAAAGCCATACGTATTTGTACAGGTTCGCATTTCTTAGCTCACACTGATCCTTTATTCTATAAACTTAAAACACTAAAAAAAATCGATCTGAACATTACTCAAGTAGCATTTATTATGTTTAAATACATTAATAATCTGCTTCCACAATCCTTTGATAACATGTTTAGGTTTAATTTTTATAGTTCCGTTCATTCATACTCTACTCGTATATCTGGAAACTTCCATCTTACAAACCCCAAATTATCAATAACACACAAATCTGTTAGACATTCTGGCCCGAACATTTGGAATAATTTTCCCGACAACATAAAGTCTTGTTCAACTATCTACTCCTTAAAAGCTACACTTAAACGACAAATAATACAATCATATGCTCCCCTCTCTTTAAATTAGTATAACAAAACCGTGACTTATTTTAGTCTTTATCATGCAACTGCTCACTGCACCTGCACTTGCACCGCACCCTCTTGATCACTCAGTTTTCCGAAGAGAGTTATGTCGCCAATTCTTTTTATGAGGTCGCCATCCATTTTTTGTATTCTGCAAAGAAATAAAATAAGAGATCAGATAGATTGCTTACAGCTGAAAGGTTATTTGAAGGGCTCTAAACCTATAAGGTATTGTGGATGAATAAATACAAATGCAATATAACTTAACACCTCTGCCCTTGTACGGCAATTGTTTAATTGCAAAATCACTTGACTGAATAATAATCTAACTTACTTCAGAACTAGACCAAATGGCAACAGTGTTTTGAAAAAGTATGTAAAGCTATGGAACAATGAGAATCACAACACAAATTGCCAAGATGGTTATCAGTTTGTGACGTCATGTCCTCACTATTTATCAATTGCTCTCTATGGTTTAATCCCATTAATTTCCCTTTTTATTCCCCAAAACTTGATTTCCCCATGCCTCTGCCCAGGTTATATGATTTGTATCATATTGCGTACATGACATTTCACAAAATCCTTTATGAACTTTGAAGAATTTATACTATTTTCTGAATATTGTATATTCATAGGTATTGATTTTTATTTTAAATAGTTTATCAAAATTCACATTTTTCATGATTTAACTGGAAAAAATTACTCTATATTAGTGCATCCACACAAAAACATATTACTATTAATCTAACTTGGATGCTGGTGTGAAGAAATAAGAATCTTCAGGAGAAAATAGGAAATTTATATCATCAATATAAAGAAAATAATTAGTGGATAGTGAGGACATGACGTCACAGACTCATGAGTGAGTCGCCAATTTGTCTAGTGATTTTCAAAGTTTTTAATGTCATTAAAAATTCATAACATTCTTATTAGTTATCCGATTTTGCTCAGACTTTTTTTGATTGGTTAGTCTGATTTTTCTGCTTCTATTGAAAGTAAGTTATTTTTGGAGTGGACTTGGGCTTTAATACATAATTGCATATATCAACCAGTTGACTACAGGAAGAAAACATTTGGTCAGATAGTTCTATCTTTCTCAAAAACTCTTTTCTCATATTAAAAAAAAAAATCTACATTCACCTTTCACAAACACTTTTCATTCCCTAATAAGTATATTTCTATATAAAAGCTTACCTTCATAATTGACTTTCCCATCGCCATTTTTATCTGCTTCCTTGAATATTTTAGCGACCTCTTTGTCTGTCAGCGGCACTCCAAAACTCTTCATCACGGTTTTCAGTTCTGCAGCACTGTAAAATGAAAGAAAAATGAATAAGTATAATTTAAAATGGAAGATGAAAATGATTTCAGCTAAATAATAAAGGGCCTTTATGTGGTGATACATTTGGGGATTAAGGAGCCTATATGTGGAGGGAAGAACATTAGTCATGTAAATCAATGTTCGTCTCTTTATGGAAGATCAAAATAATGCTTCTCTCTAACTGCAACATTACAAAGATTCACACAAATGAACACACCCTTCACAGCAGTGTGAATAGATTGGTGCAACTTTATACACGTGAATAACTGCACTATAAACAAAAACCTACTATCTATCATAGCTACACTATAAACAAACGACTACAATTCATCATTTAGTTGAAATTCTATTCTATAAAGGCACCATACAACGATTCAATACAAATCTAGACTTCGTGAAAAATAGCTTTAAAATCGATTTTTGAACTCCTTGTGAACAACTTTGGTCTGTTATATAATAGGCTCTTGTAAAACTACGTTATGATTGAGGGCAGGATGTCAAGATCTTAGCAATGGAAGGTAATATGAGCTCAAATTTGCAGTCTTGTGAAGATTAAGTTAGTAGGAACATTACTGTAAACTATTACACTGTTAAGTTAAGTGACATATTTTATTATCAACATTTTAGCATAACAAGGGTATTTAGTTCACTTTGCTGTACAATATTTTGACACATTAACAATTCAGCTTAGAAGTATATGGGTAGTCCATATATTTCACTGTCTTATCATATTTGTTCTGGTTTCTCTCCTTTCACTTTCACATCTATAATGATTCTTTAGTAAAATATTTGGTATTAAGAGAACCCAACCCCCCCCCAAAAAAAAAAAAATCACCCCCCTGTTGTTAATGTGCATACAAATTTGTCGCTGTTGGTCCCACCTCAATAATTTATGTTAATAGCCCTCCTTCAGTGTTTAATCCCCGCCCCCCCCCCCCACTCAGTGTTATTTAGAGTACGCATATGCTCGTACCCTCTTTTTGAAAGCACCCCCTATCTGAGGACTGCCATCATTTCCGAACCCCCCTTTCGCGGGCTTTTCGCGGGCTTTTCCTGCCTTGGAGACCCCCCTAAATCAGGAAAAATACTCAATGTACCCCCCTAAATTCGGAATAATTTCTCAGGAGTCCAAAGAGATGAGAGAAAAAAAGAAAAGGACTGCCATCATTTCCGAACCCCCCTTTCGCGGGCTTTTCGCGGGCTTTTCCTGCCTTGGAGACCCCCCTTAATCAGGAAAAATACTCAATGTACCCCCCTAAATTCGGAATAATTTCTCAGGAGTCCAAAGAGATGAGAGAAAAAAAGAAAAATACCCCCTTTTTAAAGAAATCTCCGGGTAAAAAGTCAAATACACCCCTTTTTTTACAATAATATCTCGGGCCGGACTTTGTCGCACGAAAAGTACCCCTTTACCGGACATTTTGGCAACACGCATGCGGTCATTCCGACCTCTGAGTGGGGGGGGGGGGGGGGGGCCGGGGTTTAATCATGCCAACTGGTGCCCTCGGAAATAAAGGACAGGTTCACTATCAACCTCAAAAATATTACCCGATGAAGCCATTGCCGTCCTTGTCAAATTTCCGGAATTCATTCGTGATTTCCTCATTTTCCTTCAATTTCATTGCCATCATTGTGAGGAATTCTTGGCATTCCATCGTTCCATTTTCTACAGACGCATAAAGGAAATAATGAAAGTAGCAAATAAATCAAATAATTTACTCATGCATGAACCAGTTGAAATATGAACTAAAACAGACAAATATTACTAATATAGACTACTACGGTAAGATAAAGATATGAACTAAGAACTTGTGTGTTTCATTTACAAGGCAATTCATCAATAGATAATAAAAGAGCTTCTTTAGCTCCAGCTAAGAGCATGAAAATAACCCAGCCTTTTAAAAATAACAAGAAAATATCGCAGCCACATGAGTGGCTAATATGGTAGAAAACACATTTCAAAACCAATACTAATTGTTTGGAAGGGTTGGGGCATTGAGGATGATGAAACACAAGAGAACAAAACCACATTGATTAGAGAAGGGAAACAAAATCAGAATAGAACTTGCAACTTATCCTCCTACAGTATAACTAACGATACAGTTTGTCCTGCAGTGCAGTACCCATTCAGAACTCAAGATCTGCCAGTTGGCAGTTTACTGAATAATACGAGGTCCCGCCCCCCCCCCCCCACTCCGAGAACGGACGGACCCCATGCGTGTTACCAAAATGTCCGGTAAAGGGGTACTTTTCGTGCGACAAAGTCCGGCCCGAGAATTGTAAAAAAAAGGAGTGTATTAATTTTTCACCCGGAGATTTCTTTAAAAAGGGGGTGTTTTTTCTTTTTTCTCTCATCTCTTTGGACTCCTGAGAAATTATTCCGAATTTAGGGGGGTACATTGAGCATTTTTCATGATTTAAAGGAGTCTCCAAGGCAGGAAAAGCCCGCGAAAAGCCCGCGAAAAGCCCGCGAAAGGGGGGTTCGGAAATGTTGGCAGTCCTCAGATAGGGGGTGCTTTCAAAAAGAGGGAACAAGCATATGCGTACCCTAAATATCACTGATTGGGGGGAGGGGCGGGTACGAGGTATTGATTTATTGCAGAGTACACACTAAACAGCACACTTTATGGGACATGCTTTACAATTGTCTATGTATATGCAGTAATGTATAATCGTCTATTATTCAAATTAGCATCATCTGGATACAATAACGACTATCAAGGCTCTATAATATGAACACAATTATGCTATTATGGTGGATTCATGCCAAACAACAGATGTCATTGCAATCTGATTATCAACCATCTAAGGATACATTTTTCCAGACCTACTTCCATTGGGAATACATTCAATGGTCGAGCTCTTGCCATGTCCATTTATGAAGGCAATCAAGGACGACAGGTGAAAGTTTGAAAAATATAATGTTTCATTCATTCAGTAAATATTTTGTAGGAGGAATTTCTGGTAAGATTCTTTTTTTTTCTTCAGTGGATCATCATTATGAATTGGGTGTTTCATACTCAAAACTACATGAATGTCACTTTCCTTACAGCTCTTTTTGAAATATTCTACAGAAAAAAACACTTTAAGGACATTTCACATGGCATGATTGAGTGCAAAGACAACATTCCTTTCTTTTTTATTTGTAACATTCCACACGTTTATGACACTTTGGGAGATTAATTGCCGTTCATTTTTCTCCCGTTATTGTCCATACTATACTTAACATAATAAAGATCTTGCAGTTGTACAGCTAGTATGCTTCACATGATCATGAATGGGTAAACATCTTTTATAATAATGCCAAATATTTCTCTATTTTTAACTTACCATCAGCATCCACTTCTTTGAGCATGTCTTTAAGCCCAGCCTCAGTAGTGTTCTCACCAAGTGATTTCATCATAGTACCCAATTCCTTGGTTGTGATTTTGCCATCACCATCCTTGTCAAAAAGGAAGAAAGTCTGCTTGAAATCTATTCAAAGAAAAAGAAGACAAGAAACATGTGAGTAAACATCAACATTTGAAATGCTGTTGATCATCAATTATCTTGTATACAGGTTGAACAAGTATCATTCAAAGTTACATTAAATTGAGAGAACACCATAAAAGAAATAGAGCCTGAAAATGATTGCTCGTTGTACGCCCTCATTGTTGCGATATGAAAAGCTCAGCCTACTGAAAAGTTTAGACCAAACTTTCAATGTCATGTGTGTAGTCCCACATACACATTTTTAGAGCAATGCACATTTTGAAGAGTCTAAAACTCTAATCATTATCAAAATTCTCAATTACTTTCATGCAGTTTCTTTCATAAAAAATCTGCCTGTTTCCAGACAACTTCTTTCATATCTGATCATTGGAATGACTGGATCAGAACTCATCTCTAGGTAGGTTAACACTTGAATGATTCTTACCTGCAATTTGCTTTTCAGTGAGTTGATTAGCCTGTATAAAACAAAAACAAAATTACATTAAGAACACATGTACACTGCACTCCTAGATCTATTCAATGGGCAGATACTTCTTATGGAACTATGGATTTTTCCATTATGTTTACACTTCCGATTAATAGTTTGCTTTAGTACATCCACTGAAGCAATTTCTAAACATGCAGCATTTTGTTTTTACACACATTGCATTGAAACATACCTGCTAAAGAAAGACTGTCATTGTCTTTCGTCACATTACTTGGCCAGTTGACCTTCTTTGGTCACATTACTTGGCTAGTTGACCTTCTTTCTTGAGGCAATAATTACACTGTCATTGTCTTTCGTTTTGTTAGACTGTGTTCGTCAACATTTTGAAGAATTATGCATTGGTACATTTTACAAACATTTTGTTGAATTGTCAAGAGTTTCATGAATGATCCTTCAATGAGCCAATGTATTTTTATGGACCATTGTTTGAATATGCATGATTTTGTCAGGACTGGTGTGTTCGATGAACCAATGAACATCCCAAAATAGCATTATGTTGGTCGAAATTGAACTTTGTGTTGAAATTCTGTGCGGTAGCGGCACATCAAGTATGAATATTCATGCAGTAGATCACCATTCACTCGAAATTGTTGAATATGCATGATCAAAGAAAAAGAGCCCTTCTCAACCTTGTGCATATTCAGCAATTTCGAGCGAACGACGCTCTATTCATGAATATTCATATTTGCTGCGCCCGCCCGCCCGCCCGCCCGCTACCGCGCATTCGTACTTTCTCTTCGCCATGTTGAATCAAAGATACACGGATGAATCGTCGGGTTAGGACAAAGACAGTGGCGGATCCAGGGAAAAAAATCATGTAAAATCACGTGATTTTTACCTTTGTGGGGGGGGGGGGGGGGGTTGGGCCCCCCCTGGCGCTCAAGGGGGGGGGGGTGCAAATTGAAAAAATTTCGAGGACCAAAAAAAAAAAAAAAAAATGTGCTCACTACCCCCTCCCCCCCCCCCCCCCCCCCCCCCCCCCCCCCCCCCCCCCCTCCACTGAGCGACTTTTCGGCCGGCGCGATTTTCAAATTTTCGGGAGCAAACAAAAATGAAGAAAGTTGGGCCCCCTCCCCTAAGAAATCCTGGATCCGCGCCTGGACAAAGAATCACCCTTTTCCCCATCAAAGACTTCTTCAAATTATAATTTGGACGTAGAATCCTAGTTGGACGGCCCAGAGGAGTCGTAAAACATCGTAAAAGCACCGACGTGAAAAGCTTTAAAAATGAGCCAAAATCGCCCCTTTTCAACTATTATCTTTTGATCCGATCGGCCTAGTTCACCACCGGAAAAAGCATTAGAAAATTTGACTTTTCTTCTTTTAGTGGGGTTTTTGGTGCAGATTCTTCTAAAAGCACCAAATTTGGCCCAGAGGTAGATTATACCATACCTTTACCATTTCTGCCGGACGCCAACAAGGGCACCTTCTGGGTATGCCATATTGGGCAAATCCAAAATGGCCGCCATCTGAGTTAAAGGTCAAGCGTAGTTCCAAAAGAAAAAGCGCTTGTATGATAATAGTTTATATATTTATGGGGTTTTGGGGGTCAGAGAATCTGATTATGATGTTCTTTCATCGATTTGAGGTCTCCTTGGGGCTGCCATACTGGTCATATTGGTCAAATCCAAAATGGCCGCCATCTGATAGTTACGGGTCAATAGTAGTTACGAAAGGAAATGGGCTAGTATGATAAACGTTTATATAATTATAGGGTTTTCGGGGTCAGAGAATCTGATTATGATGTTCTTTCATCAATTTGAGGTCTCCTAGGGGCTGCCATACTGGTCATATCCAAAATAGCCGCCATCTGAGTTACAGGTCAAGTGTAGTTACGAAAGGAAATGGGCTAGTATGATAAAAGTTTATATATTAATGGGGTTTTCGGGGTCAGAGAAACTGATCATGATGTTCTTTCATCGATTTGACGTCTCCTTGGGGCTGCCATACTGGTCATATTGGTCAAATCCAAAATGGCCGCCATCTGATATACTTAATGTTATAGGTCAATAGTATAGTTTCAAAAGGAAAAGAGCTAAAATGATAACAGTTTATGTATTTATGGAGTTTTCGGGGTCAGAGAATCTGATTATGATGTTGCTTGTATCAATTTCAGGTCTCTTTGGGGCTGTCATGCTGGCCATATTGGCCAAATAAAAAATGGCCGCCATCCGAGTTAAAGGTCAAGCGTAGTTCCAAAAGGAAAAAGACCAGTATGATAAATGTTGATAAATTCATGGGGTTTCCGGGGTCGGATAATCTGATTATGATGTTCTTTTATCAATTTTATGTCACCATCCTGTCCTAAGGCTACAATGAAGTCCATTTCCTGGTTGAAGAAGATGAGGGAAGATGCGCCAAATTCACACTTGAGTGGGTATAAAATATTGGCCTGCGTCCATATGTTTCATTAATATGCAAACTTTCCTCTGTGAAATGCATAATAAATTCGTTTTCGAGGGTTGGCAAGGATAATAGATAAACAGTAGAAACAGACAATGGATAAAGAAATAAACAGCTTGATCGATTTGTTTTGAAGCATTATATTCAAAGACCCGGACAGTTTTATCTTTATTATCCATATAAATAACTCTCAGATGCGAGATAATACCAATGCATTAAACAACGTCTAGACGTAAAGGTCGAATCTCAACTTTATTTTTCTCATTCTTCATTACATTTCGAAGCGTTTCATGGGATCTTAATCCTGTTTTTTCTACATACATCAATGCCCCCATTTAAGCATACTTTGAATCTGGTCACGCTTCGAAAAGTTCGTGGCCTAGCATTTTGCTTCTGTTGATGATCAAATAAAGAAAGCACCCTTTATAGATTAAGGAGAGTATGAAAAAAGCACACAGAAGGAGCAGTGCAATTTAAATATCAAGGGATGGATTAGAGTTTATTTCTAAAATGAAATGAAAGGGCTATTTTATTTTCAAGAGTCCTTTCACTTTATTTAAGAAATAACCTCTCTTTATATCTTATAGAGACACTTTCTCTTTAAAGTCAAATAAACTCGAGAGCATCCTGGGGCTCTGCCCCGGAACCCCCGGTAGGGGCTCCTACATGCCCCTAAAGCTGTGCCATATTGTACGGATCCATTCGAAAGCAAAATAAGCCCAATAAATAATTTGTATATACATATTATGTATATATACATATATATATATATATATATATATATATATATATATAGTTCTCCTATGCAGACTTCCTCTGTGAAATGCATAATAAATTCGTTTTCGAGGGTTTGCAAAGAAAATAGATAAACAGTAGAAACAGACCATGAATAAAGAAATAAACAGCTTGTTCGATTTTTTTTGAAGCATTATCTTTAAAAACCCGGACAGCTTTATCTTTATTATCCTTAAAAAAATAACGTCTATAATCACTCTGAGATGGAATAAAATATCAATACGAATTGCATTATGCAACGTCTAGACATAAAGGTCGAATCTCAACTTTATTTTTCTTAATCTTCTTTTTAATTTCGAAGCGTTGCATGGGATCTTAATCTTGTTTTTTCTACATACATCAATACCCCCATTTAAGCATACTAGACATAAAGGTCGAGTCCATGGGGACTTGGATCACGATAATGCCGATAATACTTTATGACCAGATTCCAAGTAAAGTTTACTATAAAGAACCAATTCCGACATTCAGAAATGATTTTCGGTGACTGATGTGTCAGATGTGATCATTCACAAAGGAAAGGCCAGCACACAACAAATTACATTTCCTCTCTCAGCTCTTTATGTTCATGTGACCTTTGTAAAAGTTCGTTCCCGATTTTGGCGCATGCGGAGTGTGCAATTACGAACTCGCTTATTGATAAAAGAACATCATAATCAGATTATCCGACCCCGGAAACCCCATGAATTCATCAACTTTTATCATACTGGTCCTTTTCCTTTTGAAACTTCGCTTGACCTTTAACTCGGATGGCGGCCATTTTTTATTTGGCCAATATGACCAGCATGACAGCCCCAAGGAGACCTCAAATCGATACAAGCACATCATAATCAGATTCTCTGACCCCGAAAACCCCCTTAATATATAAACTGTATGATAATCATACTAGCCCATTTCCTTTCGAAACTACACATGACCTGTAACTATCAGATGGCGGCTATTTTGGATTTGACCAATATGACCAGTATGGCAGCCCCAAGGAGACCTCAAATCAATGAAAGAACATCATAATCAGATTCTCTGACCCAGAAAACCCAGAAATATATAAACTTTTATCATACTAGCCCATTTCTTGTCATAACTACACTTGACCTGTAACTCAGATGGCGGCCATTTTGGATTTGACCAATATGACCAGTAAGGCAGCCCCAAAGAGACCTTAAATTAATGAAAGAACATCATAATCAGATTCTGTGACCCCCAAAACCCTATAAATATATAAACTATTATCATACAAGCGCTTTTCCTTTTGGAACTACGCTTGACCTGTAACTTAGATGGCGGCCATTTTGGATTTGACCAATATGACCAGTAAGGCAGCCCCAAAGAGACCTTAAATTAATGAAAGAACATCATAATCAGATTCTGTGACCCCCAAAACCCTATAAATATATAAACTATTATCATACAAGCGCTTTTCCTTTTGGAACTACGCTTGACCTGTAACTCAGATGGCGGCCATTTTGGATTTGACCAATATGACCAGTAAGGCAGCCCCAAAGAGACCTAAAATCTATGAAAGAACATCATAATCAGATTCTGTGACCCCCAAAACCCTATAAATATATAACTATTATCATACAAGCGCTTTTCCTTTTGGAACTATGCTTGATGGCGGCCATTTTGGATTTGCCCAATATGGCAGTCCCAGAGAGCGCCCTTCTTGGCGTCCGGCAGAAAGAGGACATTTTTGTTTTATAATTAAAAAACACACAAAAAACATTAAAAACAAACATACAAGGGGGGGGGGGGTTGCTCCAAAATACACACATAAAAAAGAAGGGGGTTTAACCCCCAACCCCCCCCCCCCCCTGCGTTCTTTAAAGTTCTTTCTTTAAAGAAAAAAAGAGAATTACATTTCAAATTTGATCTGTTTTATATATAGTACATGTAGTGTTTTCAAAAAGTACACAATGTACAATGAAAAGCTGACTTAACCAAAAACTTTAGACAGCCGGCTTCCCGACCAGCTTTCAATTTGGAGTCGGGATTTCAAAAAAATACCCCTAAACGCGTACAGTAGGATTTTTAATAAGGTACCCTTTTTTCTTGAAAATTGACGTTTTTTAAGCCCTTAACGCGGCACCGTGCAGACCGCGCCCAATCTATACATTAAAAAAAAATATATAATACGCTTTCATGGTCATGCATGCTTACAGTATAAATACAAATAGTAGATAGCTTAGACAGATACCGAGATGTGATTGGTCCAGAGCTCGTCACGTGATATCAATTGCGAGGATCCAAATTGTTATATTTTCCTGGCCGGTCACTTTTCAGTGTTATATTATACCGGCTGGTAAAAGGAATATATTTTTAATCCATGCATGTCGCCCTCTTGAGGACTGTATGTCACCAACTACATACATTACACCAGGCCTTCTCAACTGGCGGCGCGCGCGCCACTCGTGGCGCTTGCGGTCAGTCAGAGTGGCGCGCGGCTGTTCCAAAAAAATAATAAAAAAATAAATAAAAATTTAAAAACAAAATTTAAGAAAGAAAAAAAAAATCAAAAAATTATATTTTAAAATAAAAAAACTCAGCAAAATCAAAAAGTCGCAGTCGAAGTTGAGCCCAAAATGTAAGCAAGCCATTTTGTTTGTTTGATTTTCACTTCATTTTGACATTTTCCGTGTTTATTGAACCAAAATAACTACATGTAAATTAACTTCCAGTGTAAATTTTAGCCAGGAATTGTACTAATTATTTCACATCAATATGAAATTATGATTGATGTTTTATGGAACAAAAAGGTGTTAAAATGCCACATCTGGGCCTTAAAAAAGCCCTAAAATCCACTAGCTTCCGGGGGCTTCGCCCCCTGGACCCCACCCGGTATCGGCTCGGTCGCTACGCTCCCTCGCAACACAGTCACCAAACATACAGGTTGGCACTTCAACCTCAATAAATTTTTATTTTGGCGCTTCTAATAAACTAGTTGAGAAGGCCTGCATTACACCATTATCGAGGGCCATTTTATTTTTTAATATTTTTTTTTCATGAATTTTTTTTTCCCTAGAAATTTTTTTTTCCACATTTTTTTTTTCCCCAAAAAATGCTTTTTTGGGTAAATTTGTTTTTTAATAATTTTTTTTGTTTCCCGAAAAATGCTTTTTTGGGTAAGAATTTTTTTTTTTTTTTTTTACCCCAAAATTTTTTTAAATTTTTTTTTTTTTTTTTTAAGGTAATCTCGACAAATTATTTTTCCGTAATTTTGATTGTCCCCGAAAAAAAAAAAAAAAAATTTCGGGCTAAAAAAAATATGGACCCCCCCCCCCCCCCCCCACACAAAAAAAAACCAAGGCTATCTAATATAACAGTTATTGACTGGCAGGGGGTTTATAACATTCTTTGGACCTGAAGGGAGTTATATTTTCCCTCGTGACCATATTTTCCCTCAGCGCTGCGCGCTTCGGGAAAATATAACCACTTGGGAAATATAACTCCCTTCAGCGGTCCAAATAATGTTATATTACACCCCCTGCCAGTCAATAACTGTATATTATATACCTCACTTAAGAAATCCAGCCATCTGATTGGTCGAAATTGCATTCATAAACTTTAACTATTCCTGTAAAATTCCCGGTAAAATTCCAAACCCATGTAATAGTTCTAAAAAATAGTTCTAAAATCCCAGTAACCATGGTTACCGGGAAAATAGTTCAGTCTTGGTGAAATACCCATAGGATGACATGTTAAAAAATGGTCTGAGCGATCGAGGATACCGTACGTGTGCGATGAATTGGTCGGTAATTTCAATACAATAGGCCAGTTTCGTAATGTATTCAGAGACCTTTAAATCGCATGACGTAATCGAAGGGTCGGACAAACAATTACTCGCGATGCGTAGCAGCCTACACTTTGCGTGCATACAATACATGACCGCATGTGTTCGCTTGGTGCGATTGTATCGTTTGTTTTCGCTATTTTGAGAGAGAGAGAAGAAAAAGGAGGCAGTTTCAAACTTGAATAATTCATATATTTGAGATGTGATTTTGTTCTTCATACATTTGATCTTTAAAATCGCTGAGTCTTAGGCAGGAATAATAGGAAAGCATTAATTGCTGTTACAGAACTAGCGATTCACATCTTGCAGCCAAACCTGTTCGGCCAAGTCCCCGGTACAGGCAGCGCACGATACTCCCTCAAAAAGAAGAAAAAACGAGGTCTATGATACATGCGACATTGGCTTGAAAGCCAGTGATGAAACAGAAAGCGAAGCACCAAAATATCAGTTAGCTAGCCGATATCGGTAATTTCCATTCAATTTTGCATTTACCTTAGCTTGAAACTGAGTACAAATTTGGACGTAGAAGTAAAAGAAGTGGTGAACTATTTTCCACTCGTTCGCACACACAGTCACTTATACTTGCATAAGAACATGCGTGCGCGCGTACCACGTGTTCGTGTTCGTGTAGGCGCGATTCACATTTTCATAATGAAAACAAATTTACAGATTAAAAAATGTTTGTGAACGCCTCGATCGATACGAACTATTTCAAGGCGGACGAGAAACGGCTAACCAGAGGCAAGCACAATGACCGCAGAATCAATATTATTAACAAAAGTAACGAGAAATAATAAGAAAATGATAATAAAGGTAATAATGATTACACTATAAGGTCTTTGTATTAATAAAATAATATTTATAAAATTATGTCGTCCGATGGCAGAGAGCTAGAATAAAAATGTTGAATAATGATAAACAGATAATGTTGAACGGAAAAACTGAAGAAAAACACTGAACAAGGAAAAAGAATGTGTGAACTTTGTGAAGCAAAGATTGATAAATAATAATAGAGCAATGGAAAAAAAAAGTAATAATAAGAACACACTTATGATGGCAAGGAGGAAGAATCGGGATGAAAAAGAATTTGATTGTTTAACATATGATTAGGAAAGTTTGATTATCATAAAATAAGAGTTAATAGTATTATAATTATGCCGGACCTTCGTTATTCAAGAAGCAATTATTATTATTAAAAAAAACATTTAAAAATAAATTTGTTATTACATTTTCGATTAGACTTCTACTTTTTGTTTGTTTAATATTTATATATTTTTTCTTTTTGTTCAAGTTGGTATGTTCTGTCTTTTTGCGTTGGTTTGACCTGAAGTCTAAAAAAACACGAGTCAATCGCTATCATGAGCTGCTGAGAGCTAGCTAGAGGAAATGTTGTACTCGAGCTTCTCCACATGCATGATATGGCCATCGGAAAATATTAATCAGAGTCTTCAAAACTCTTAAAAGCCTTCAGTTTTTGACGATCATAAATGCATGGTCTGCCATATGACATTTTCTACTAGATAATTGAATAGGTCCCAAATCAGGAATATCGTCAAACTTAAGGGAGGTATGTAACTAGTTCACTTAACGAAAATGCTGCCTGTTGTAATTTCCCCACACGCAGTCACGTCTACCGAGTGACACGGACCCCGTAGGTCACGGGCTACGGGCAGGCTAGTCCGCTACTGCGGACGCTAATTTAACGAGTCTTTTCTCGGGTGTATACCGTGGTCGAAACTCCTCTTTTTCTAGGAAATTATTGCAGCTGCCTGAAACTCAACTTGATGAATGGCAAGTTGGAAGACATTTCCAGCCAAAACAGAAATTCACATATATAAACGCAGTTTTGATAGAAAGATATGAATCCAATTTAACGGCAAGAACCGACATTCTAATACACAACGCACATATTCAAAATGGCGGTTTGACAAAGCTTGCCGGGCTTGGTTACAGTAACCGCGCATTACGTAACCGCCGAAACTGGCCTATTGAATCTCGATCGATCTTACCGACAATTTTATCTTGCATTGTTGACATGAAGACGAAAATAAACTTCCAAAAACAACATCTGCCGATAGATCTTGATCTAAGTTCGTGCCAATGCATTGCAAAAGTAAAAGAAGGGCCCGTTTAATGGAGCTGCCGCAAAGCATCCAGCACGCGAAGCCATTTTCAATCCATTTTAATGTATACATCAAAGAAAACTACTAGGTATGGTATCATGGCCGAGCGGTCTAAGGCGGTGATTTTAGTCACATCATCGTTGGTGCGCAAGAGATCGACTCCCATCTTCGACAAAACTTTTTTTATTTTTTATTTTTTAGTCTGCTCTCAAAGATACACTCATAAAAAACAACCGTGCAGATAAACAAGATAAAGGCTAAGGTGGTGTTATAAGTTGACTCTTTTTTTTTGGCATATAAAAGTATTAATGACTGCTTTAATATTCGAGAAAAAGTTGTTTTTATACGCTCTCGGGAAGGTTACAATTGGGCTATTGCCCTCGGCACGCCTCGGGCAATAGCACAATTGTAACCTTCCCTTGAGCGTATAAAAACAACTATTTCTCTCAAAGCAGTCATTAATACTATACTACTACTCAGTACTGCAAGTCGCGTGCGATATATGGCGGGGATGGCCTTCCATATACAAACTTGTATTTGAAGTCTACGTACCGTACGTCAATACAGGTAAAAAGTTACAGGCTACAACAATGAACGTGAGGAAGAAGGTTGTCTACAGAACCTTATTCTATCTTTGCACTGCATACCTAATCTGCAGAATAATCGCATCATACTTAATTTGGGGACGTTATGGCAGTGATTTCCTTTCACAAATTGTGATTTTCTCGCAGGACCCTAACTCGTCTAAGGACAGACAGATCTTACTCGGCAACCAAGCAGATGTAAGTATACTAGATACACATCGCTTACACACATAGGTGCATTACTATCCTGGCTGTGTATTAAAAGCTGTGCTATTAATTCTCAACATTTCAAACACCACTGTGCAAGACTCAACTAATTTCACTAAAAATCGGTACTTTTGTGACAATTGATGACACCTAAATAGCAGTAAAATACAATCATTTCAACTTTCCGATGTTAGAAAGAATAATTTAAAAATTCGAATCGTGAGTCTACTGTCAAACTTGCCGATCAGCCGCATCGGCATAATTTGGTGCATTTATGTGTTGTGAGTGTATTGACTATTCATGTATTTAAATGCTGCCTATTAACACGTAGTGCGGTGCTAAAGGTCAATGTACGCATTATCATTGACTCTCTATGCTTTGCAGGAGTGACCGCTTACGAGAATGTTTAACTTTAAGCCTAACGTTAGTATTAGTAAGGGCCAGGGCTAGGGGCATATTAAGGCTAAGGTTAAGGGATTTATCTACTTGAAAGAGAAGAAAAAAACATGAAATTGATGAATATGTGATCATGACGGTAACCTACTACTTTTAGTTCATGAAGGGGGGGGGGGGATGTAAAAAAATAAAGACATCGCTTTTGCCTTGGTATTTACAGAAACGCCAAGTTCAATTTCAAAGATGACTTGGCGTGCGCGTTCAAGGGTAAATAGCGTAGATATAGCGTAATAGCGTATAGCATAGTAGCATACGTTTCAAAATCGTGCGCGCGCATCATGCGCGAGAGCGTTTTCAGACCCTCGAAAGCGTGAGCTCACCCATAATGTTTGACACTTGGAAGCTCTGTATTTAATTTATTAATTTAATGGAAAGTAGACTCTGCATGTATGTATCAAATAGCACTAGACCTCTAGATCTAATAGGCCTACCAATATTAAAGGGAAAGTCCACCCCAAAAATAATTTTGTTTCGATAGAGGCAGAATAATAAGAAAATCAGGTGAGTGAAAGTTTGAGCAAATTCTGAATGAAAATAAGAAAGTTATGAATTATTGAAGTTGTGATCAATCAAATACAAATTGGCAACTCTGTGACTTATTATACGAGCTCTCCTTCATTTGCTTTGTGCATAATATTCCATAAAATCATGTTTTCTTCGTTATCAGTGAAAAAAATACACGGGGGCTCGGGGCGAATTAGCCCCCGAAAATCAGAAAAGAGCCCCAGTAAATTTGCATAGAGTTCAATGCAAAACAAATTTTAGAATGTTATTTTCATGCAGGCAAGGTTGAAAAGTAGCCCCCGAAAAATAAATATTAATTTTTTCCCTGATATGACGGAATATATATTTGTTCCTTGCAGGGGGAGTATAGAAACATATTTGCCATTATTATATTTAGGGTGCATGTATGGTTGAAATTTTTCTTGAGGGAAAATGAAAATTTTAGATTTTTTTAGTACTGAGCAAATGGAAGTTGAGCTCGCATGATACGTCATAGAGTTGCCAATTTGTGTTTGATTGATCACAACTTCAAAAATCCTAACTTCCTTATTTTTAATCGGAATTTGCTCAAACTTTCACTGACTTGTTTCTCTCATTTTTCTACTCCTATTAAAACTAACTTAATTTCAGGGTGGACTTTCCCTTTAAGGATATATTGACTGCTATGACCCCAAGGCGCTTGCGCCGCGGGGTCATAGCAGGTTGTGAGTTTCATGAGACCCTATAGAAACAACTATGCCTCGAATATTAAAAGCAGTCAATATATATTTTATATACCGAAAAAAAGGAAAATGTTGACTCACCCATTTAGGTTTCCATCTCTTTGAAGTCATGAATATTAACACCAACAATAACTTGTGTACAGTATGAAATCCAACAAGCTGTGCTCCAGTAGAACAGGGAATACCAAACACGTTTACACGAACAGTAACTTTTGTACAGGATGATATCACCAACAAGCTGTGCTCCAGTAGAACAGTAGAACATGAACAGTAACTTTATAAATTCACAAATTCGCAACATATTTACATTTTTGAAGGATCTTGTCCAGGTCTGCATTCGGAAGTCTGTTTACATCTCCGAGGTCCGTGTTGACATTTCGCAAGAACTCTTCAAATATTTTAATGCCGTATTTTACTGCATACTTCGTATTTTTGCTATCAGCAGAATCGATTAAGTCTTGCAGCTGAATTTCATCCATAAGTTGAAATCTTGGCATAGCTGTGTCCTCCATTTTGCCTCTTTATTGACAAAAAATTGGAAACAAAAAACCCCAGTATTTTGCGATCGAGACTAGTACACAAAATGGCGATCGGTCGTCTGCGCTGCGTGGATTGGTAGATTCGTCGCCTGAATGCAGCGACCAAAATCGAATTGCACTCAAACACCGTTAACGGTATTGCGCATCGGTCATCGCACAAAAGAAATTTATACGGTAACACGTAAACCAAAATGGGGATCGCAGCAAAATGACGTCACGTTTCACAGCCATGGAAAAAGTGCTATGAAAAATGGATATAAACCGGTAGAGCCGGGAAAAATGACTATGAATTTCAATTAGCGGGCATGGTTAAGAACATGACTGCATTTTCAACCAATCAGAAGACAGGATTAGTAAAGAATCTTAAAATGAGGTATATAAAATAATATATATACTTGCAGATGCAGGGTTTAAACTTTAATATATAATATTGTGGCTCTGCCGGGGTAGCGTTCTGCCTTGCAGTCTCTCAAAACCCGGTCCACAATCTCGACAATCATTCATCAACTATATCTCTCAGTGGGCTCTCACAAAAGTATATCGTGTAAGAATAACGTGGACTAGCTCTCATTCACTTACTCCCGCAATCACTGAATGTCTGACAGGACTAAAGAAACAACACTTGCACAGTATCTGCAGTTCAAGTAACTTTACTCTTTCCTGGTAACGGACCTGTCGCAACGACAGGTCAACGCTGACTGACTGACATCTCACGATGTACATGTATATATTTCACAATTAACTATAACGCCCTCTAAGTCTTACTAAATTACTGGGCTAGTTATGCTACAATATAAATGCAGTGTAATTTTATCTCTTTACCTCCTGCTCTCCTTTAAAAAAATTATTATTATTGTTTAATATCACCGGTAATGCATTGATGCAGAACCAGCAGCTTCCTTCAGCAATACCAGCCTCTCCACAAGCAATCAGTTTGAGTCATTAAAGCATCAGTGACACTACCAATGATGTTCAATATCATTGCTAGACGTCAACACCAACTTCAGCTACCTCTGGTCATGCATCGAGGCTACCGCCATCATGACCATGCCCTCACTTCTCACCATCTAAAAACTGCAGGAACATTCTGAAGGGCATCATTCATTATCATTTGCAATTGTCCTAAAAGTTCTGCAAAGTACTCCCAATTCTGAGCAAAGATTAGTCACCACAAGCCAGACATGATCCTTGGTTGCGAATCAGAACTTGACGAAACTACACAGTAATTACACAGTATTCCGCAAAGGTGGAAATGACTGTGGGGTGGTGTCTTTGTAGCAATACATGAGTCTCTCATCTTAACCAACTGTCCGGAGTTCAACTCGAATAGTGAAATCATCCGGTGAAACTTGCAATTCACAAACACAAAACCATTATTTATAGCAAGCTTTTAACATCCCCCCACATAAATCTCATGTAAGCCTTTTGCACATGGATAAAAAGGGCACCTCATTTGCGGGAATTTCCATTATGAATGATAATGGTAATGGTTATAAAAGCAGGAAATAATGCAACCTAGCAGAGTAGCAGGTGACGTTTAATAAATAATTGTAGCTTGCATTTCTATAGCTACTAAACCCATGTTTCAGTTTTGTTTCCTTTCCAGTTTCAACATTTGTGTTTTCATGTTTTTCTTTCTCTATTCAGATCAGCCAGTCATCGCCAGCCATCAATCCTCATCCATACAAGTTCTTAATCAACGAACCTAACAAGTGTCAGAATGAAGACGGAAGTAGTAAGTTGGTGTTCTTGCTCGTGCTCGTCGCGACTATTCACAAAAACGTCGGGCACCGGAAAACAATTCGTGAGACATGGGGGAGTCCGGGGGAGATTAACGGGAACAACATCATCACGCTGTTCCTTCTTGCCAAACCTTCCAAAGGCAATACAGAATACCAGCGCATCGTGGAAGAGGAAAGTGCTTCATACCATGACATCATCATGAGTGGCTTTCAAGACTCCTACAAGAATCTTACTTTGAAGACCATTATGGGTATGAAGTGGGTCAGTCAATTCTGCCCACACGCAAATTATGTAATGAAAACAGATGATGATATGATCGTCATTTATGAAAATCTCTTCAGATATCTGTCATCCACTTCTATCCCACGCAACAACTTTGTAAGCTGTATTGTGATACGGGCCAAACCTAACCGAATTGTGGGACACAGGTGGCATGTTCCCAAAAGTATTTATCCAGGAGAGTGGTATCCGCCATTTTGTTCGGGGGCAGGTTACGTTATGTCTGGCGATGTTGCGAGGAACATGTACACAATATCTCTGCACACGCCGTTCCTTTATCTAGAAGACGTATACATGGGACTGTGTTTATTCCAACTGGGGGTGTATCCATCCGCTCATAGACAGTTTCATAACTACCGCGTGGAATACTCTACGTGTGGATACAAGAAACTTTTCACAACCCACTACTCTATAGCTAAAAACTCTGTCAGATACAATGTATGGAGCCAAATGGAGAGAGACAAACAAATTCACTGTTACTTTAATTTTTGGTAGTTTTTGATGCCAAGACCAAATATTTGGCTCTTTATTTGGAAATTCAGAGAACATGATAAAATATATAGATCAACCAGTGCAGAATGGTGTGTGATAACTATCCCCTCCCATTTGTCCTTCAGTCCTTAACAAATCTGGTTTCTGTGCGATAACTTTAGTGATGTTTGCTGATTTTAATGAAATTTGATATGAAGGTACATGGTATGAAAATACACCCTAAGTTCAATTTCGAAGTAAGTAGGTCAAAGGTCATAGCTCATTAAATATGTGCAAATATCTAATTATACATATACCGTATGTGAAAAAGTGGTTTTCATTCAATAATGTAAGTAATGTTGAGTGTGTACGTCAAAGGTCACAGCTCATTAAATATGCACAAATTGCTAATTATGTACATGAGAAATAGCTACAGTAATTATGTACACTGTACACGCAAAAATGTGGTTTTTCTTAAACCAATTACAATAAAGGTTATTTTCAGATCTTCTCATGGGTCATTCCATAAAGTAGAAAACTTTCTGTACATCCAATCCCCAGGTATTAGTAGCTTCCTTGCCTAGTAATGATATAATAAAGTATAATGGAGGTAACTTGTTCTGACGTACATGTACATGTACATGTATATATAGGGCATTTGTACTCGGCGAGGGGATGCTACAGTGTATGCTTTGCTTTGACTTGTTAACTCTTATCCTGCCACAGGGCTAATCCCCCCAGTGCCAGATTTATAACGAGATAATCGGATTAACGCGATGGTACTCACAATAGAGCGTGCAAAGCACTAGGCACAGTCCAATAGGCATGAACAATAACTGCTATTACGAATGTTTGCTAGCATGCAAGAAGCAGCGTAACAATAGCGTGCAAGCAGCCTCATGGCAGGCTATGAGTTAATTAATGTCTCGGAAATTTTCAAAAGACCCGATTAAAAACAAGATGTTAATTATATTCATTAATTGATTGTCAAAATTGTATTTGTACCTGTAAATGTGGCATCCATTAATGATCTTTGATAACACTCATTATGGAAATGTTTTTAATACATACTATTAAAAAAAAGAAGCATCAAAACAATTCTAAAGAGGACTAATACAGTGATAGAACATGGGGTGAATCAGGGCATCATCGAACGCAAATCTCAAGAAAAAAATGGAAGAGGGTTCAACATTTTTGTTTGTTTGTGTTTTTGTTTTTGTTAGTCCTGAAATACAAAAATGTACCAACAGTAATTGTGAATTTTGAATTTGAAGGAGATGTCTTATGTTGAGTTGAAGTAGACTTCATTGATCATGGTCCTATCTTTAAAAACATGAGGATTGGTCCTGAGCGTCCATGCCTACTTGACCATTGTATATTTGCCCATGTATGATGATGATGATGATGATGATGATGATGATGATGATGATGACAATGATAATGGTTTACAGAATTGGTGCCATGGTGCCATATTTCCAATAAAAAAATGAATTGATTAAAAATTAAAATGAAAACAAATCTTTATTCATTTACCAAGATTAAGATGCAGTACAGTATGCATAATGAATCAGGGCTTTCATGTTTTGTGAACAAATAAAATCAAGTTAAGTTTTTAAATTTATTTTGTGATAGGAGTTTCCTTTCAACTGGTTTTATGATGTGGTAGATAACATTGTATGATGTCTCTTGATTCTGTTTTCTGTATGACTTTCAGAAAGTAGGCTGAATGGAAGATGAGCAGAATAAAAACGATACATTAAGTATAAGAACAAAATGAGAGAAAGGATGAACAGGTTAGGAAAGAAATACTGATGAAAGAACGTTGATTCTTTTGAGGATACAGTATTATACAGTTCATGTGATCAATACAGAACTCAACGTGTGAACAGTATTAAAACAGCAGTGCTTTTATCCATCAACAATCAAGCGATCAAGCAAAAACAACAGAATCAATGAAAGAGAGAGAGAGAGAAAAGAGTTGGGAAATGTTGAAATGTATTGAGCTCTATAATTCAATTTTTAGTGTGGTCTTGCTCTTCACCTTAAAAATTTAAGACGGTTGACCACCCTAACAATGGTCTTTTGAAATTTGAAGAGAGAGAGAGGGAGAGGGGGCAAGAGAGGAAACTGGAGATGGATACCGAGGAAGAGAGGGGGCTGAGGGTAGGAAGGGAGGGAGGGAGAGAGAGAGAGAGAGAGAGAGAGAGAGAGAGAGAGAGAGAGAGAGAGAGAAGACAAGACGGGGATGGGGTGGCTCATTGGAAGAAGGAGTCGATAATAAAGGGCTTTTTGAAAGCTGAGACTTTATAGATACAGCAAAAGGTTATGTGTATTTATGCACACACATACTCACACGTACGCACATCCACCCACATACATGTACATAAATATTCATTTCTTTATTATACATGTAAGTATAAGTTCGAACATGTTTGTTTTTCATAGATTTCCATAACAGTAGAAAAAGTTAACACGTAAACCATCATTATGCAATAATGGAGGACAGTCCAATTTATTGAGCATACTCTGATAATTCCACGTATAACAGGAATCAAGGAATATAATGCAAACATGACGATTCATGATAGCGATTCAAAATCTTATGTTATGTAAAAAAAGAATTGGAGCTCTGAGAAATAAATTCAATGAATACAAAAATAAGCCATCTCCAGCTCGAAATGATGCATAACAAGTTTATATTAATCCCAAAAAGGATGTTCTTGTCTCCGATTTTACTGTATAAAATCTTGCTGCAAGACATGAATTTCCCCTCTCTCCCTTTCTCTCACTCTCTCCATCTGCCTGTCTCTCTCCCTCTCTCCATCTGCCTGTCTATGTATGTCTGTCTCTGTCTGTCTCTCTCCCTCTCTATCACTCACTTTCTCTCTCTCCCTCTCTCCATCTGTCTCTGTCTCTGCCCCTCTCTCTCTCTCTCTCTCTCTCTCCCCCTCTATATCACTCTCTCCCTCTCTCTCTCTCTCTCCATCTGTCTCTGTCTCTGTCTCTCTCTCTCTCTCTTCCTCTCTCTCACTCTCTCATTCTCTCTCTCTCTCTCTCTCTCTCTCTCTCTCTCTCCATCTGTCTGTCTATGTCTGTGAGTGTCTCTGTCTATGTCCCTCTCCCTCTCCTTCTCTCTCTCTCTCTCTCTCTCTCTCTCTCTCTCTTTCTCTCTCCCTCTCTCCTCTTCCTTTAACTTTATCTCATTCTCTGTCTCATATCCTCATCACATATCCTCTACTTTTCCTATTCAAAGCTATAGCAGTCTCTTACTCTCATATCCATTATCCCTTCCCCTCTTCATCCAACTCACTCCTCATCTTCATCTGAGCATGCGCTCTCTTTTGGAATTCCTTCGTTCCGATTGGTTGGTAAGATTATGTTCTATCGCTGAGATATAAGCCGTTTTCAGAATGACATCTATCTTATGACAGCAGGTGTATGCAACTTAACAGGTGCATGAGAACAGTCATCATCATCATCATCCTCGATCATTCCACAACCATAGCTTATTGTCGAAACTCGAATCTTAAATCTCCAGTTGACAGGTGAGTTTAACAACTTTACGAAAATTCTCAATCTGTTTAGAGGTGATTTAATACTGTGTAAATGAATATGAGTTCATACCAGGGGTTATAGTGAGTACAAAATACAAGTGTACCCTCCGTCTGTGCTCCATGGATAACATTCTCGAGACTCCAGACTAGAGAGAGAGAGAGAGAGAGAGAGAGAGGGGGGGGGGGGGGGGGGGGGGGGAGACGGCAGGTAATAGAAATTGTTTCATTGATAAAAGACGGGGCTAAATCGAACTGCAAGACAACAACAACAAAATATTGCGCGTAATAATTTCTGCACTTTAACGAGGTACAATCTATCCAGTGCTCGAAAATGCAAAGTTGTTTATAAAGAGAACATGCATGCATGCACACATATGCGTTACGGAGAAGTGCTATCTAGCTTGTATTTTCACATTATCTTCAAAAGTCATTTTAAACGTTTTTAAGATCAAGGAATTCAAAAAAGTCCACATTAAAAGTTTACATTGGAGATTTCAAATTGAAAAGAAACTAGACCGGATCAAGATAGGCTGAAATTCAAAGCACTTATATGACAACTTACTTCTCTTAGCCTATATGTTACCAGTTGATTAAGAAAGAACCCAATTAAATCTCAAAGTACAGATTTCTCTTTAAACCCTTAAATTGTGTCCATCTTGAGTGTAAATTTGTTGAGTTTGAATTACGAAGGTATGGCAAACATCGAAAGTGTAAGAGAGAGAGAGAGAGAGAGAGAAGATAACAAAAAAACCAAGTCTGATATTAAAAGAAGATAAGATGCGAGGGTTTTTTTAAAAGATAATTGGATCGTTTTATTCCATCAACGTAAAGTCAGATCTAGTTTTAAAAACAGAAGAAAGCATTTCACTCGTTTTGATGCTTAAATTTTGTAAAGAAAGCGTTTCTTCCATCCGTTCTAGCTAAAAGGGTTAAAATATTCTATTCTCTCTATAAAATCTCTGATCAATAAAAGCAGACCGACAGACGGTAGATGCTATCAAACGATTCTAAAAGGTTTCAATTATGAATAGAAGATGCGAAGTCTCTCATTCTATAGTTTCCATTTATTTCCAGAAATTTTCAACAAATCAATACCGTGAACATTATACATTACAACTTCAAGTTTAAGAAGGTATTTTTTGTAACTTAAAGGAACACGCCCTGTGATTTTGCATTAATGTGGTATCTGAACAGACACCCTTGTTCACATGTGCTCTATTCTTGTTGAGAGCCCATAAGGATACGCCCTTTGAGAGTAATATGCTTTTCACACTGGCAATATTTGCCTTAACCCCGTACTATAGGTGGGGTTAAGGGGTAACCCCACCTATAGTACGGGGTTAAGCCTATTCCACTTTCTGTTCAGACTGGTTTTTACCAAAGTGGGCTAAAGTTGGCTAACCCCACCTATAGTACGGGGTTAACTAACCCTGCAAAATAGCAGGGCTAACTCCGCAATTGTGGTGCTAACTCCTGCTAACCCCGCAATTGCGGTGCTAAGCAAATGAATGAGAACAGAAACGAAAAATAGTCCGGTACTACGCAATGGAGCGTATCGCAGCTGGCCAGATGCGAAGTATGTCCAATCATAACATACACGATATCCGGGGTTAACGAAATGCAGTGAGAACAGCGGGAATTTTCTTATTCCGGAATAGGCGCTAGTACGGGACTAAAAACAGCGAGTGTGAAAAGCCAAAAAAATAGTACGGGGTTAAGGATAGTACGGGGCTAAGCAAAGTACGGAGTTAAGCAAAACCAGTGTGAAAAGAGTATAAGAGTATCATGACTGAATGCCCTTCCGGCCCTCAGCAGATGAGTGTAGTTATTATGAAACATGATGACGCGTAAGATGCAGGTGAGCTACATTATGATAACCTTCATATTAATCAGAGCAAAGATTCTTCAAAATTAATAATATCGCACGGTCTCTAGCGCTATCGTAGGCCTATTACTGTTGTTGTACTCTATAATTATGTATCTTTATCTGTTTTCCCATCCCTCCTCTTTTTCTCTCTCTCTTCCCCTCTTTCTCTCTCTATATATACCTCTTTCTTTATTAACATATTTTTCTCTTTCTTCCTTTCTCTCTTCAGCTCTTCACTTCCACTAAACCTTCACCTTTTCAAGTGTTCTATATCTGTTTTCC